ACGTGATCAGCGAACGCGGTAACATTCGAGGGACGTATTAAGAGTCACGCAGTACATATTTTAGATAGTAGATGCTGCTTTGCGTAACTTTGTAGTAAATTAGCACAATTCGATGTGTATACGATTGGTGATGGATATAGGATCATGTGGGGGTGGGGTAAGAAATATATAATGATGTAAATATACATAAGGGTTTCAAAATTTTCGCTTCGATTTCCAGCTTCGGATGCCGCCTGATGTTTGGTGAAATACAGTCGAATATAATCTCAAAATGGCGTTTAAATTAGCCTAAATTAAAAATAATCGTATATCTCTTAAAATTGCTTTTAGAATATTGATTAGTATATTTTTTGATTTCTAGGTAAATATGTAACCAAATTAAAACGTTCAAAACGTAAAAAAATGTGCATGGTTGAACATTGTCAGAAAGTAGATTCTTGAATAGGTTTTGCCAAAATGGGTTCAAAAATGTCAATAATTAATTAAAAATACAGTAGCTTTATAATTACTTATAACTTACCGAATTTGATGAACGACATCTTTTATTGGAAAGATGAGCTTGATGAGCTTTCATCATCGCTACTGCCTGAAGCACCAACGTCAATAATGAATGGCTCGACTTGTTCCTCTAAAATATTGTCCAGTTCCCACATTCTCTTTTCAACTTTGTCTTTCACGTGCTTAATACAGTTTTCCCATTTTTGCGCTGTTATTAATTCTAGTGCTTCTTTGAAAAGTCCTTTGAGGTCACAAAATTTAAAAGTTGTATTGTGCTTAGCTATATAATTTTTAACCTCTGCCCATATGAGCTCAATGGGATTGAGCTCGCAATGGTATGGAGGTAAACGGAGCACAGTTTTATTTTGACTTGCTGCCATTTCGTCAATGGCGTATTTTTGATATTCCGCCTTGTGATCCTTGACAATTCTTAATAATTGTACTTTCAGCATTGCTTCTTCAAAGTTGATATTTTTCGAGCGGAGCCAATTTTGAACATCAACTTTCCTTGAAGCCGTTGTTGGGACCTTCTCCATTCTTCGAGAATGATAAGGCGCATTATCCAACACAATTACTGCGTTTTCCTCTAAGTTCGGTAAAATTTTTGAAAACCACTGTTCAAACGATTCGCCATTCATTTCCTCGTGGTAATCTCCAGTTTTCTTAGACTCAAAGCACCACAGACCGTCAACAACAAATCCATCCTCACTGCCAATATGGCAGATAATGAGCCTTTTCCCTTTACCTGGAAATCGAAGTACTAACTGGTGTAGATTTATTTCAATAAGCGAACCTTTTTCAAATGTTTTCATCACATTCAGCGAAAAAACATTGAGACATGAGTATCAGATTGCTATAATTGGGATTATTTAGTCATATTGAAAGAAAGAATATTGAACGTCGTATGATTACTCAGCGCTTCACAATTTAATTTAAAGTTATAAACCTTAAAAAATGAATGATCAGGAACCTGAAATACGCGCAAATATTAATATTAACAAATTATAACTTTATAAAGCTTAAAGTATGAATTAAAATGATTAGAAATATTAGGAACGGTACACAATATAAAATTAGTAACTTTTTTTAAGTTTATAATATTCGACATATTTTAAGATTATATTAAAAAATTATTGAAATATCGAAAACACATAAAAACATGGCTTAAAAAAGTTCTAACAAATGAAAATGACAATAAAACATCCACGCATTTTATCGAAAGTTATAAAAGTTTTGTTACTTGTAATATGTTTTATCTGCCCCCTGGAATTAATGTTTAGAACCTTGTTCCCAAGGTTTGAAAAACATCCGATTGTTGTCTATTACTCGTATTTACCTGCTGGATTTTTTAATCCGGTGGACAGTCCATCTAGAAAGGCCCTCCTGGATGAAGTTACAGAATCATCAACCCATACTTTACTTGTAGTGTGTCCTGCGTTTACCCACGTTTCATCAAGGTAATAAATCTTCCTGTTTTGATTTCTATATTTCCCAATTTTTGTTAAATAATCCCTCCTCCATAGCACAATTTCTTCTCTATCCAGTAGTAAACTATTACGACCCCGTGTTTTTTCAACGTTGTATCTCCATTTACCTCCTGCAGTACTTTATCTATAGTAGGTATTTTATTCCTAAAGAAGAATTCATGCACTTTCCTCCTAATCGCATGCTTATCAGCTTCATCCAATGATTTAACAATACTTTTGCGATGTTTACTGGTCATTGGCTCAGAAAAGGTGTGATTTTTTTTGTATTGTCTTAACACATTAAACACTGATGCGCGACACACCCCAACTTTGTGAGAAACCTTCACAACAATTTCTTTGATGGTTGATGCCTCGTTCTCCTCGCGCTCGATCATATATATTCAAAATGACCTCTTTCATTTCTGCACTCAGGTGTCTTTTTTTAAAGCGTTTCCTATAACAATAACAATCAATAACAAGGTATAACAATAACAACGACAAACTCAACAACTTAATAAGATAACAAACGAAAACGTCCAAAGAAATATCAAATTGCAATGATGCACACGACATACGTAACACGTCTGAACCTGAATGTGACTCTGCCTTGATACGACTGCTCTGCCGCTCGGCATAGGCATTTAATTGCGAATTACCAGTGAGGGCTCCTGTTTTACGTCGAGACGGCGGCGTTAACGTGAAAATCACCCGAACCTTTTGTTTACATCCGGTCTATCTCTTATCTGAATTACTGTAGCTGCCACATGTGAAACTAACAAAACTCAAATAGTATAAAATTTGTAGCCCAATAGCTCTTTTAACTAGCAGAAGTTCGTTGAAACCAGTTCAGCCCTTTCGAAGATACGGCGTGTTTGAAACCTTTGAATACCCCCCACCACTGTATTTTTAGAGATACAGCAAAAATTGTTAAACAAAAAAGGTTCGCATTATCCTCGACTGTAAAGATCAGATATTTTTTGTCAAGTTAATATAGCGAAATTCACAGAAACGTCACTTTTTAGATTCAAGATTGCAGTTACGCCCCCTAGCGGCAATTTCAGAAACTTGAAAGTATTTTCCAGGTTTTTCTCTTGGCCGTACAGTACCTCCATTTTTAGTTGACCTATTTGTGAGAAAACTACTTATCAATTTTAACAAATTATTTCAGTAACCATAATGGCATTTCGCTATCTAAAGTTCAGGGTCGTATCAAATGCCTTGATGCAATCTAAAAGAACGAATCGCGTCTCTTGTTGATGCCATTTTTTTTATTCACGCTCGTCTCCGTTCCAGCCGAGTCCCAAAAGAGCTCGACGACCCGCACGTGATAATCCTGAGCTTCCCGAGGTACTGCCGGTACCGAGCCATGATGAAACGTCTCGAAGGCGTCGAAGACGGCTACCTCAAGCTGAAGTTGGTCAACGCGCTTGGCGGTTTCTACGTCACGCATCCCAACACCAGGGTGCTTTTCTGCAAGGACACGTTCGATTATCCCGAGTTGGAGGGGCACGAGATGCTTTGCAACCATTTGGCCCCGAAGCTGAAGGGCAGACCTAGGGGCAGGCGGAAAAAGAGGAGCGCCTCGCCTGGCTCGGAAAGCAATGAATCGGAATCCTCGGTTCCAAACGGGTACAATGCTAGGGTGAGTACGAGATTTTGATATTGGTTACCATTAGCACTGATTAAGCGTAATAATTTGTTTTCATACGTACTTACCTGGGGGCCCTGTAAACTGGGGGATCCGTATTATTTCATATTTATTCATGGTAATTTACAAAATTAATTCCATAGGTAAGGTACAAGGAAGAAAAAATATACAGGGTGGTCCATCCATGTGTGGACGAGATATTACTCATAAACAAATACATTTTGGGAAAATCTATTTGTGGGATATTATACCTGTACATGACATTTGAGGGCACATTTCTGAAATATTGGCCATTATACAGGGTGTCCCAATTTCGATCTACATATCGCAGTTGTGATTTTTCAAATGGAATGCCTAAAATTGTATTGCATATTTTGATAAACCAATTCAAAAGAAGAAAATTGATATGACATACTATGGGTTTTCGGCAATTAGTTACTGAGATATAAGGTGTTTTGTCTAGAAAAAAATCCACTTCGGCAATCCCTCAGTCCGCCATTTTGAAATTTGGAGTGCTGAATTTGTAAAAAAAAAAAAAACTTCCACACCTCAGCTTTTATATTATTTTATATGATTCTTGATCATACACGGTGGTCGAAAACGCAAATTTTAATCCAAACTTGCACAAATATACAGGGTGATCCAAGAATTAAAATTCGAAAAAGTAATAAATAGATAGAAGCTGAGGTGTGTAAGTTTTTTTTTATACAAAGTTCAGCACTCCAAATTTCAAAATAGCAGACTGAGGGGTAGCCGAAGTGGGGGTTTTCTAGACAAACACCTTATATCTCAGTAGCTAATTACCAAAACCCCATAGTATGTTATATCAATTTCCTTCTATTGAGTTGGCTTATCCAATAATGCAATAAAATTTGAGGCATTCCATTTGAAAAATCACATATTTTATATGTAGGTCGAAATTGGGACACCCTGTATAATGGCCAATATTTTAGAAATGTGCCCTCAAATGAGCCACCCTGTATATGTATATCACAATATATCACAAAAAAAATGTTAGCATCAACTAATGATTTCATTCATAATGAGAGATAATTCTACATTTAAAACAGTAAAAACCGTTTCCAATAACACATTTACGCTTACATCGGAAAAACACAGATAATACGTTAAAAATGAATATAATAGCCCAGGCTACAAAAAAAAATAGCTATTTCTTGTGAAAAAGTTTAACAGATATCTGAAAGTTTTAAATTAAAAATGTTTCTAATGACAAATACATAAAAAGATACAGCCAGATAAGCGTTGTTTTTTATAAACAGTGGGAAAAGCCTAAATTCAATATTTTTGCTTGTATAATTTTCAAATTAAATTTTATAAATAATCGGTAAGCTGGAGATTTTGGAGCTTAAAAAGACCTTAAATTTTTGTTTTTTTCGTATTAAAATCTATAAATAAGCTAAATACAGTGCTTTTTAGCAATATTAATAAATGTCTATAACTACCTATTGCATCAACAATTGTAAAAAGGTATGTTTGTAGAACATTTTACAAAAGTGATTCTTGAAGGTTTCAAGTTCACGAATTTATGCAAAAAATTAATCATTTCTTTCAAAATCGTTGTTAAAAATGATGCTAGAAAATAGCCATTTTTTAGTTATAAGCATTTGCAATAACATAGTCATTTTCCAATATAGTTTATTTTAACAAGTTGAAAAAACGCATATTTAAAAAACCTTCTACGACCAATAGGAACCAAGATATTTTTTAATTATCTCCTTTATTTATAGGTAAACATTAAGACTCGAAATTTTCACAGATTTGAATCTAGGATCTCAATTTTAAATTTGAATTGAAACTAAATTAACCATTTACGTTTATTTGAACACTAGACTGTGTTCCAACGATTTAATTGGAATAAATAAAATATTATAACAAAACGAATGCAAATAAAATAAATATAAACGCGATTCAATATTTTTTACAATTTATTACAGTGTATTTTGTTAAGAGTATACCAATTAACTGAATTTTGAATTGTTTAAACAATTTTCTTGTACAATATAAATGACTTTATTATAGTGAGAGTAACAGGAAATGATTTATTGTTTATTTATTATTTCATGGTAATTTAATTTTGAAGAATACAACGTGTCAAATTTTCTGGGATTTCCCGATTTTCCAAGGAAATGAAAATGAGCCAGATGTCATTATTTAACTAAAATCCTTGATTAAAATCTGTGAAATAGTTTATGTAAAAACAAAGTATGTTCGTATAACATTTTAGAAAAGTGATTCTTGAAGGGTTCAACTTCACGAATTACTGCAAAAAGTTAATCATTTCTTTTAAAATCGTTGAAAAACATTATGTTAGAAAAAAGCCATTCTTATAGTTATAAACATTTGCAATAACATAGTCCTTTTCCAATATAATTTATTTTAACAAAAAACGCATATTTAAAAAACCTTCTACGACCAATAGGAACCAAGATATTTTTTTAATTTTTATCTCCTTTATTTATAGGTGAACATTAAGACTCGAAATTTTCACAGATTTGAATCTAGGATTTTAAATTTGAATTGAAACTAAATTAACCATTTACGTTTATTTGAACAGTAGACTGTGTTCCAACGATTTAATTGGAATAAATAAATATTATAACAAAACGAATGCAAATAAAATAAATATAAACGCGATTCAATATTTTTTACAATTTATTACAGTGTATTTTGTTAAGAGTATACCAATTAACTGAATTTTGAATTGTTTAAACAATTTTCTTGTACAATATAAATGACTTTATTATAGTGAGAGTAACAGGAAATGATTTATTGTTAATTTATTATTTCATGGTAATTTACTTTTGAAGAATACGTGTCAAATTTTCTGGGATTTCCCGATTTTCCAAGGAAATGAAAATGAGCCAGATGTCATTATTTAACTAACATCCTTGATTAAAATCTGTGAAATAGTTTATGTAAAAAAAAAGTATGTTCGTATAACATTTTAGAAAAGTGATTCTTGAAGGGTTCAACTTCACGAATTACTGCAAAAAGTTAATCATTTCTTTTAAAATCATTGTAAAAAATTATGTTAGAAAAAAGCCATTCTTATAGTTATAAACATTTGCAATAACATAGTCCTTTTCCAATATAATTTATTTTAACATGTTGAAAAACCGCATATTTAAAAAACCTTCTACGACCAATATGAACCAAGACATTTTTTTAATTTTTATCTCCTTTATTTATAGGTAAACATTAAGACTCGAAATTTTCACAGATTTGAATCTAGGATATCAATTTTAAATTTGAATTGAAACTAAATTAACTATTTACGTTTATTTGAACACTAGACTGTGTTCCAACGATTTAATTGGAATAAACAAATTATTATAACAAAACGAATGCAAATAAAATAAATTTAAACGCGATTCAATATTTTTTACAATTTATTACAGTGTATTTTGTTAAGAGTATACCAATTAACTGAATTTTGAATTGTTTAAACAATTTTCTTGTACAATATAAATGACTTTATTATAGTGAGAGTAACAGGAAATGATTTATTGTTTATTTATTATTTCATGGTAATTTAATTTTGAAGAATACAACGTGTCAAGTTTTCTGGGATTTCCCGATTTTGCAAGGAAATGAAAATGAGCCAGATGTCATTATTTAACTAAAATCCTTGATTAAAATCTGTGAAAATTTCTTAATGCTTATAAACAAAGGACATATGAATTAAACATAAATTTCTTGGCTTAGAAGGTTTTTTAAATCTGCGTCTTCCTAACCACCTATTTACAACTTGTTAAAATAAATTATATTGAAAAGTAACGCAGTTGTTCTGAATACTAAGATCGTTGTTTCGTACAGGGTGAATCTCGACCGGAAATTCGTTGCGATTCCGGTGCACCGACACGAAGAAGCACCAGATGCCACGAAAATAACGAAAACAAAGAATTCATCCGGAAACTGACCGCATTTATGAAGTCCAACCGCACACCAATCGGCCGAACTCCGTCCCTAGGATACAAAGAACGTGAGTATTGGTGCTACTCTCTTTTTACAGATAATTAAAACCAAAGCTTCGTAGCCGTTCGTCACAGATTATTCTTATATAACTACTAAAACATACAAGGTGGGCCAAAAAAAGGTCGCACCCCCATTTGTGACTCTTCTGAGGGGGACGTTTTTTCATTTACAGGGTGATCCAAAAATAAAATATTAATACGCTCTGTAAAATAAAGTCCCAACTTTGAAGTTGAATTGAAATATTCACTGATGTTTCGGCTACCTCGAAGCCTGTTTCAAAATACACAATGTCATTTTGATTTCCGGTTGGCGACCAGTGAAATCTAGGATTTGATTGAAGATTATTTTATCTTTCTTTTTTTTTCAGTGAACCTCCATGAATTTTTCTCAAAAGTACAAAAACTGGGCGGATATGATAACGTCACTGCCAACCGCTTGTGGAAGTCGATTTTCGAAGATATAAGCGGTTACCAAAACAATATAAGCGCTACGGTAATCCGTCGACATTACGAAAGGTAACGTTAAAAATAATTTTTATATACAGGGCGTTAATGTAGTGTGTGCCATAAATTTAACAGGCGATTCTTAGACAAAAAGTTCATATAAACATGGGTCCGCTCTCAAGATTCATGGTGTTCAAATTTAACAAACAAAAAAAATGGTTTTTCGAAGATTTCTTAAATATTCTTTATCTCATTTTGTTGAAATTTGGCGGTGTTAGTTATAAGATTAAGGAGCTAATTAAACCCTAACTTCATGAACTCTTTTGTCTCTTGATTTTTCTTTTTTTCGTATCTTGCTTAGTTTTCGGGAAATGGGAAAAGCCCAAAATTCAGTATTTTGCTTGTATAATTTTCAAATTAAATTTTATAAATAATCGGTAAACTGGAGATTTTAGAGCGTAAAAAGACCTTCGATTTTATTTATTTTTATTTTCGAAAATTTATTCAATATCCTTTACCTAATTTTGTTGCATCTTGGCGGTGGTAGTTATTTAGCACTAACTTCATGAACTCTTTTGTCCTTTGGATTTTTTCGTATCTTACTTAGTTTTCGAGAGGAAAAAAAATGTCCTAAATGTCTTTATTAGCAACACAACAATAGGGCGAAGTTTAGCCAGATGGCTACTCTTGCACCCATCCCTATTGTGTGATTAAATATGCATATACAATTCAAAGTCACATACATGCAACCTAAAGATAAATACATCGATCTGGCTTTCAAGTAAGCGAGCTAATAATAAAGGGAAAAAATACAATCAATTGATAAATCCGCGCCAAGAACCAGTACTGAACGGATGACAACACAAAAAAAACATAAAGATAATAACAACTAATTATGATACTTCCATCAGCTGATTTTTAACCAGCTTCCTACACTTTTGCTTCTCCAGGCAGGGTCGGTTGGGTTGTATAACCTCACAGCATAGAAAGTGAAACATTTTTGAAACAATGCGGTGTAGTGCAAAGGCATTGTCAGATTATTATTATGCCTCAGATCGTGTATCTTTTGGATTTTTTTATAATTATTTATCACTAATTATGCAACAACAATAAATAAACACTAAATTAAATTACGTTACATTAATATTTAAACTAATGAATTTTACTAAACAAAGGACTATTTATATGCTATTAAGTGAACATTTTTTAATTTCAACTTGGTTCACTAAAATGTAGGATTAATCAATTTGACAAGAATACTTGAAAGATATAAGTATGTCTCCCGTATTTACAAGAATTTGTTATATTTTTTATGTTTCTTTTATATGCATTTGATTTTTAAATATGCATACATATGAACAATATTTTTGCTTAAATCAATAAAACATAAAAAAAACCTTATGAGTGTTATTTTCGTTTTTTTTTTCACAGATTCTTATTCACATTATCCGCTTAAATTTAGCATTATGATATTCATTTTCTCAGAAAATTAACTTACTTATTTCTGTATAAACTCACAATTTTCACACTACTTTTTTTGAAAATCTCAATTTTCTGTCTTGAATTCTTGGTTTGGGCCACCAGCACCCCTGTTATTTGAAACAATGGATTTTTTTAAATATTAATCGTGATTTAAATCAAATTATAAATTGTTGTAAAAACAAGTCTGCAAGCAAAGAACTAAAATAACTCACCAGGAAATTCAAAAAAAGGAAGGTTTACATACATTATTAAGTTCAAAAATATAAATATTCATAAATTAAACTAAACACAGTTTACAACAGCAACAACGGTTTATAGTTGATAATATTACCTACATGGTGAATAATAACAAATAAAAATTATTGATCAATACAAAATGTGTGTTTAGGAAGTAAATCTTAATACTCATACTGAAAAACTAATTTAATAATATTGCTCAGTAAATATTTTCAAATTGTTTTAGGGGACTGGACTTCAAAGGGGTGTTTTAGACTATTAACAGGGATCAATTACTTACAAAATTGCATCACTACGGATTTAAAGGATCTGTATTCAAAGTTCTACAAAACTATTCAGAAGTCAAAAAACCAAAATTTGTTCTACATTATTAACATCAAAAAATATTTCTGTTGGTATACCACAAGGTAGTAACTAGGTCCATTACTATTTACTTTATACATTAATGACATTTGTAATATCTTAGATTATTGTGAACTTCAGATATTTGCAGTTGATACATTAATATACATATCAGATGGAAATATAGACACTGCAAAATGCTAAATTTTGACTTGCCAAAAATCGTAAATTGGTTAAATGTAAATAAACTAAAATTGAATACTTCTAAAACAAAATGTGTGCTAATAGGGAGAAATAATTGAAAATGTTGATTCAATTAAATATTTAGCTTTATATATTGACCGTAAACTAAAGTTTGAGGATCACTATAAATACATTATTTCAAAAATTGCCAAAAAAACAAATTACATTTATAAGGCTTCTCAAAGTCTTGGTACCTATTCCAAGAAAATAGTTTATAATACAATTATTCCACCGCATTTACTATATTGTTTAACTATCTTGTTCACTGCCAATAAAGCTGTATTCTCAAAATTACAAGTCTTACAAAATAAAGCTAAGAGAATAATATTGAATAAAAATAAGTACACCAAAATAAAATCTATGTTACAAGAATTGCAGTGGTTGAATATAAAAAATTTCATATCATATTTGGTTCTTATTTTTATATTTCATCTTTTGCCAGAACATTTAAAACACTACATAGAATTGATTAATCATTACCACAATAATTAAAAATGCATCGAACCTTAAAAATCGAAATATCTCAAAAATGGCTAACTGTAACGAAAACTCACAGGAGAGCTTTTTTATGCAGAAAAGTGCGAAGAATCAGTTTTTTTATTCAAAAAGCAAAAAATTGCACTAAGAAAAATTTTTCGGTCATTTTAAAACACTACAGGTACGGTAGAGAGCGCCCTCTAGCGGCTACAGTAAAACTATGCTCATGGTTCGTTTTGTCGTACCAAAAAAACCCTTGTATACCAAATTTCACTGTTATACATCAAACATTGTTCGAAATATTTAAAAAAAACTATTTTAGAACGTAAATTTAAACACCCTGTATTTCGGAAGCCACGCATTTTTCGACCCATGTTTATGTAGACTTTATGCATTAATTTTAAAAGTTCTATTGAATCTTAAAGTTATGCAACAATAAACTGAAACACCGTGTACAAGAGGAAATATAGATTTTCATTTACAAAATTGCAATAGTAATATAACTAGCAAATCAATATTTCAGAAAGGATTACTTTAATTTAACAAACTAAGTAATGATATAGTTTACTTGTAATTTAAAGATATTTAAAAGAAAATTAAATTAAATTAAATATTTCATGGACAATGAAAATTCTTAGAGATGCAAATTTTGTTTTTTTTTCTGAATATCGGTATGTTATTTAATTGCTTTAGTTGTTTAAAAGAATGTAATTGTAGCAATCATGCTAAATAAATCTTAAACAAACAATATATATTTAATCAAAAAATCGGGATTTATGTTTTTAAAACAAAATCGTGATTTTTTGCAACACTGTATAAAATCATTAGCATCTCTACAAACTACGTCTCTGTCACTCGACGATATAGCTTATTTTGAATGTCACTAAATAATGATTTGATGACTTGTAAAACTGTAAATATACCCTATTTCACGAGTATCCATCAAGGTAGAGTGACAGCTGATTATTTAGTAATATCTCAAAATTCCCCATATCGGCACAGGATACATAAATCTGACGGTTCCGTCAACGCCAAGTAGACAGAGCCGTGTTTTGTTTCGATTTATTGTACGCTACACATTCATTTAGTTCTTGCTGACAGCTCTTTTATTTAGAAAAGTTCATTTACATAGAAAACAAAAAAATGTTTTTACTAGATTTATATCCGATTCATTATTGCAAACTAGCACAAAAATGTCACTTGCTGATCAGCTGTTCACCTCAGCGGACGTCAAAGCGTTGAAGGGTACTCGTGAAATAGTGTATCAATGTTAACCGGCACTTTTAACCATAACCTCACTTTTTCAGATTCCTGCTTTCGTACGAGCGCCATCTCAAAGGCGAACAATACAAGCCGCTTCCCGTATCAGAAAGGCGTAGACTGAAAAGCAAAAGGGGAAGCAGTCTTAGCGATGCCGAATCCAGTGGCGGCGATACAAATTCTTCGGCCGCCACTACTGTTTCTACTTCGACTGTCGCGGAAACTAAGGTAGCGAGATATTTATTTTATTGCATTTATTCCTCGTTTTCGTATTGTTCGATTTTACTTCCCACGCTTGATGGCGGAAGGTATTGTAATAGCGAGAAATTTCGAAAATGAGATATTATGTTTTTTGGATGTTATACGTGCCTTAACACGAAATAGTTGTGTTGAAGTTTGTTTATTTTTTTAAGGTTACAAAACATATTTTTTTCTTTTATAATACATTGAAATGTAATGATATTAACGCAATTATTATCACGTTATATGATGCTATACAGGGTGTCTGCGAAATGTTGGGAAATCTCGAAACTGGAGATACTACAGACCAAAATATGTGAATTGACCTAAACATACCTTAGTCCAAAAGTTGATAGTTTGCGAGATACAGGGTGTCAAAGTTACAATTTTAGTTTCTATTTTTCCTTATTGCTGGAGAAGTATCTCGGATTTTGGAATAAAACTCGGTATAGGGAGGTTTTCTAGTAAAAGAAAAAATATTTTATTTATATTATTATATATACGTAGTCATGCCATAAGTTCTGTCCCTCGTTTTCAAACAAGTGTAGACCTGTTAATACTTGTCCGATTGTTTACATTGTGGTGTCAGTTGATTAAGCGCTTTTCGGGTAATTACATATACCTCAGTTTGTATTGATCTCTCGAAGCATAACGATGGAGTGGGGCAAGGAAGAGAACCGTATTGCAGTGATAGCTTTACATAAGTGTAATCACAGTGCTAGTCAGATTTTTGAACTCTTACGCGGCCTTCAAATATCGCGTAAATTTGTGTCTAGGACCATTCAGCGGTACAATGAGACGTCCTCTGTTGATGACAGGCCAAGAAGCGGAAGACCTCGTCAAGTAAGGACTCCAGCAGCCATCAAAGCCGTAAAAGCCAGGATTCAAAGGAATCCACTCCGGAAGCAGAAGATCCTATCCAGGGAAATGAAGATTCCTGTCCGGACGATGTCGCGCATCATTAAACAAGACCTAGGGCTAGGGGCTTACCGGAGACGTACGGGCCAGCGACTTACGGCCACCTTGCGACACATCAGGGCGACAAGATCCAAGAAGCTCTTGGAGAGGTACGCAGCTGGGGGATTCCGAAAGATTTTGTTCACGGATGAGAAAATCTTCACCATAGAAGAAAAATTCAACCGACAAAATGACAAAGTGTATGCAAGGAGTTCACAGGAAGCTTCGGAGATCATTCCGAGAGTTGAGAGAGGCCACCACCCTGCGTCAGTCATGGTTTGGTGGGGGGTGTCCTACGAAGGGGTCACTCAGCTCCATTTCTGTAAACAGGGCGTGAAAACAAAAGCGGCAAACTATCAGAGCGACATACTGGATCCTATCGTCAAGCCTTTAAGTGGTACATTGTTTGCCAACCAACACTGGGTCTACCAGCAGGATTCCGCCCCCGCTCACAAGGCTAAGAGTACGCAGCGCTGGCTGCAAAGCAATGTGCCAGAGTTCATTGCTGCGGAAGATTGGCCCTCAGGGAGTCCGGACCTCAATCCTTTAGACTACAAGTTGTGGGACCTGCTAGAGCAGTTGGCCTGCTCCAAAGCCCACCGTAATATCGAGTCCCTGAAAGCGGATTTGATCCGATCAGCGGCAGCTATTCCTTTGGAAGCTGTGCGTGCAGTGATAGATGAGTGGCCCGCGAGATTGAAGCAGTGTGTGAAGGCCAAGGGGGGACATTTTGAATAAAACTGTTTGATTATGAATTCTAAAAATGTTGTCGAATAAATAATATCTTTCATATAAATATATCTTATCTTGTTTCATTTTTATCATGAGATTATCATGGGACAGAACTTATGGCACGACTACGTACAGGGGGCCCGCAAAGTTGGGGTTTTCCTTTTCAGAAACAACTACCCTTGAAATAACAAAGGTAATGTGTAGTGAAACGAGGTCGACCAAGTAAAAAAAAATAAAGGAAAAAGTACTCACTCTCCAGTTGACGAGAAGGGCTAAGTACGTCTCTGCCCGAAATCATACCGCTCCAACAGAAAATGAAATCAGCTGATGCGCTACCGAGCAGACGCAGGCAAACAAGGAAGGCAAAATGTTGCGTAAAAAGTCTAGGTCTAGGTTCACCATGCCAGCCCAAACATTCACCGAAAATGTTTGTTGAAAATGTGCCCGACGGACAGCGTGCGGATTTTCTACTGACCAAACATGAGTGTTGCTAAAGTTATTCACCCCATTACGCGTGAACGTAGATTCGTCTGTCACCAATATACACTTCAAAAAGTCCGGATTATTGTCATGTTGATGCAACAACCACTCACAAAACCGCACTCTTGCTGGAAAATCGTCAGGTTAAAGGGCTTGTACACGTTGGACGTGAAACGGATACATCCCCTCTTCACGCAGCGTTTGCCACACTTTAGTTTTTGATACTTGCACTTCTCTAGCCACGTCTCTAGTGCTTGTTGAGGGATTCTCGTCTACGCGATTACCTCTACACGTGTGACCGTAACCGTCGGTTGAAGGTTGCATACTGACCTGACACACTGACCCCGAACCAGTTCTGCCGTCGGCTTGAGACTTTGTACCAATCGGTGATGTCCCGGGTCGCGGCTACAGGACGGTATTCAGATATTTTTGATATTGCAGAGCCCTTTATCTCGGTTCCCTTAAGAGATTGGTGTATATGGTATTAAGAAAAATTGCTTATGTTTTCAAGATCTACACGCCGTGTAAAGGAAAACCCCAACTTTGCGGACACCCTGTAGTTATCAATTTGCTCTGGGTCACCTTTTTCAATATCGGAGTAACTCTAGCTAGTTTCCAAGCCTCTGGAAACGAGTTGGACTTCAGAATTAGGTTATAAATGTAAACTAAGGGTTGTAATCTTTAACTAGAAAACTAGGTATCTGATCAGGCCCTATGATCAGTTTATTCTTCAATTTCTTAGACGATGCGACAACATAAGCTTCTGAAATAGAACGAATAGCGATAGCAAATATTTATGAGGCAAATTATCAGCTAGGTTAGCATCAGGCATACAGAGAAGTATTGACCAAAGGCATCAACAATATCTTGAGCATTTGTAAAAACACTGTCACCCATTTTCATAGCGCCAGGAATCCTGCCATTCCCTTTTTTATTTCTGATGAAACTCCAAAATTGAGACGGATCGTTATTTATATTATTTTCAGCACTTTTGATAAAATTACGATAGTCTCTATTTATTTTTATCTGTACAGAAGATCTCAGATTAGCAAATCGGTCATAATAAAAACCTGTCCTATGTTTTTTGTACAACTTATGTGCTGCCTCTTTTTGTCGAACATTTACTTTCCATCGAATCGATCAGCGGTTACGAGAAACTGGTAAGAAGTGATTATAACCTTATTTTGAGTAGTATATTCGATATTCGAAAAACATACTATCTATCAGTTTTGTTGTGAATTACTCACAAATATGAAATGTTTGAATTTGTTTAGAAAAAACGTTACCCACTTTTTTGCATAAAAATAACATTTATCCTCCGGAATGGTTTGCGATTCATATCGGCAAGGTAAACACGTGTATTTTTCTATTAAATGCTTCTGAACGAACCCTGTATATTGTTTAATAAACTAGTAGTGATGGCCGGAAAACAGCGGTTTTGGGATAAACAATTAGAAATTCTCAAAAAACTACTTGACCAATCTACTCCAATTTTGAAGAATTTCAAATATCTGCGAAAAACCATCGTCGCCCTACCACCAAGTTGTTGTTGAATATTTATTTAGCATTAACGTTACAATGTCAATTTTGTATAATGATTTGGTTACATATTTTTCTTCAATCCATTTTCTGTAATTTTACATTCTTGTCTATTAAAATTGAAATTACTTCACTATGTATTTTGATTATTCATGAAGTGATTTTTTAATTTCACCTTAAACATTTTTAAATTCGAACTTTATTTAATATCATTATTCAATTAATTAAATTCAAATACTTCCTTTTGAAATATAGATTTACTACTTATGCTACTGTTACAATTTTGCAGATGAAAATCTATACTGCCTCTAGTTTCGTAGTTATGATAATGACTATTTAATTTTGAAGTTCTCTAAATGTTTTAATTTGAATATGAAAACGAGAACTAAATAGTATATGTAATTTTTCACATCCAACCACTGCAGTTCTTCTAACATAGACTTAATCCCAGCATATTTGTTTTTATTTAAAATGATTCTCATAGCTTTATTTTGTAGAATTTGTAATTTTGAAAATGTTGCTGTAAACAAGATGGTTGAACAATATAAAAAATGGGGAAGAATTTTAGTGTTATACACAATTTTTTTGGAATACATACTAAGATTATGGGAACTCTATATAAGTAATTTATCTTTTTCGATATTTTTGAAAAAATGTATTCATAATGTTCGTGAAACAGTAGCTTACTATCCACATATACAGGGTGACTTTGAAGTTGAGTCATTAATTTCCAGATGATTGTAGAAGGAAGATAAACCAAAATATGTGTGTAAAAATAAAAAAAAATTAACGAAAAAAATGTTTACCTTGTTTTATAAAGTATCCTCCCGACAAATATATCAGTGCGGACCTGTATTTGATCGTGAGGTCTTGGAGCACCGGCATGCCGTCCCCTGTGAGGTCTTAAGTCACCTGATTCACGAGCCCGTTGTACTACATTAACAAAGGCACGAGGGGTTGGTTGCACTCGATTGGGAAACCGATCCGCATAAACGTGCCATTTTTTATTTCGTTTGAGCCACGCAACAGACACCACTATTCACTCACGCGTTACCGACTGACACTGACTGTATACAACTGAATGAAATAATTGTAAACACATCGTTCCAAATTCTTTCGCTTTTTTGTTTCCGATGCGATTAACCGATAAGGCGGATTATATCCGTTGTTGCCAAACACGAGCACATAATATTATTATTGAGACAGGGCGGTACTCAAACTTCCAAAGGGCTATAACTTTGTTACTTTAATTTTACCAGAAAAATGGTAAAGGAAAAAACATTTCTTTTGATCAGATCTACTCACTGTTAAAATAAATAACTCAACTGCGAAGTCACCCTGTATACCAAGATATTTAAATGACTCGACTACTTCAATTTTTTCATCATTAATCATGAGCCTAATTGTATCACCTAAATGTTTCCGTATTGACATACATTTTGTTTTATTAGTGTTTAATTTAAGTTTATTGACATTTATCAATTCATCATTTTTTTAATATCACTATTTAACAGTTCTAAAGCAGTGTCCAAATGCTTATGTGCTATACATATCAATGTATCGTCCGCAAATATTTGAATTTTGCAGTGTTCTAAATTGTCAGAGATATCATTTATATAAATAATAAATAGTAACGGCCCTAATTTACTCCCCTGTGGCACCCCTACTGATATATTTTGAACACTTGACATAATATTTCCAACTGTAGTTTTTTGACTTCTATTTACTAAATAATTTTGTAAAATGTGTAATACTGATCCTTTAAAGCCATAGTGACGCAATTTCATTAACAATTTTTACCTATCTATAGTCTAAAATGCCATTTTGAAGTCTAAAAATATTGTTTCAATATATTCTTTCTCATCTATACTTCGTCTCCAGTCTTCCACCACCATTTGGATTGCCGTTTCTGTGGAACATTTTTTTCTAAATCCAGCTTGATTTTGAACTTTTGGCACAGGAGTAATGGTGGAACACTTTAATTTTAATGGGAATTCACCATGTACTAAACAATAATAATAATTTCTCTCCAATTATATTGACACAATCATTTGGAATATGTTTTGAGAGATTCTCACTTGGATTTTTATTAGATTTAAATTTTGTGATAGCTTTTCTTAGATTGTTGATGTTAACTGTCCTAAATTGCTTCATTGATGAATTCTGACATACTTGTAATGGACATAAGCTTGGATCACCGTCATCAATCGTGTTCACTATTTGATTTACACTTTCTATAAAATAAGTGTTCATATTTCTGCTATAATTAATTTGTCTGTCACTACCCTATCTTCGAAACGCATTTTACAAAATTCAGTCTTTCTATTAGGAAAAACAATATTCTTTAATGTTTTCTACATCATTTTAGAATTATTTTTATTGCTATCGATCTTCTTATCATAGTATATTTTCTATTCCCTCCTGAGAACTGCTACACACTCATTTCTTGATTTTGTATATTGTTTCCAATCATTTTCATTTTGAGTTACTGAAAATTTTTTGTAGTCGTTATCGCGTTTTAATTTAGACTCCTTGAATAACTGTGAAAGCCAGGGTGTTGCGTCCACTCTTTCATATATTATTTTCTTGACCATAGTTTCAATAATATATTTATCCATATAATTCGAAGTAGTTGTCGGCAGTTTTCCTCGGTGTTCGGCCATATCTTTTTTGCTATTATTCGGATGTTTTTACGTGTGATCTCATTTTGAAGGTCTCATAAATACCTAAAAATCTTATATGAAGAGTTTTTCGTTCCTGCCAACACTTGAATCCCAAAAACACGTTTACTTTGTTGTCGAATAAAAAGTTTTCCCACAAACATTGTTGTACCCTTTTTATGGGTCCATATTTTCAATACCCCCTTGAACAACTTGAATCATTAAAACCAAATTTTAGCAAACCGTGGGTATTTTCGTCTAATATGATTTCTAGTGAAACATTTCCTGCTGTTTTTTTCATTCTATTTTGCTGTTATGTCCCTTGCCTGGACGCTCAGCTTTAAAAATACCAACAAGAGATCTTTGCATTCTAGGACTGATCTTACGTGGCCTACCAACACCACGTCTTGAAACCTGAGTTAAACCTGTGTCTCCACCCTTTTTTACAATTTATTTGTCTATTTTTTGCAGGATACAAAATCGGAAAACAAAATCTCCTCGCTAAGAAGCATTCGAGTGAAACCGGAACGACAGAAAGACAAGCAACAATCCATCGAAAACGAAACGAAACCTGCCAACCTAACGAACTTGCCGGAAAAGACGGAAATCAAACCGAAAATGGACACGTTGGTGATCAATTCGACCAATATGACGAGCAAATTTATACCGGCTGATAGTTCAATGAAAATAGAATACGCGGTGAAGGAAGAATTGACGATTAAAACTGAGAAAGCGATCGATGTAACTGTAAAGGAGGAAGAGGTTAAAATTGAGGCGGAGATTAAAGATGATGACATCAATTTGGAGTCTTATTTGGAGGTGAAAATCGAGGTGAAAGAAGATGGGTTGAAGAAAGAGGAAGGGATGAAATTGGAGGAAGATAACGGACAGAACACAACAGCAGTTTCTTCAGAAGGTAAGACCAAAATACTTTGAGAGTTAAAATTACCAGGGTGTTGTAAATGATTGGAATTTGGTATATTTAGGTAATTGGACATGTTTATTTCAGATGCGGTTTCTCCAAAATCTGGCGAAGAAAACAGCGTGTTCGTAAAGCAAGAAAGCGCCATTCCAAATCATAATTTTGAATCGACGGAATCTGAAGTAACAATATCGTCAGTTGCCGCTGAAAGTTTCAAGAACAAGTTCATCCAGGAAGTCAAAAAGAGGAAATTGGACATTTTGAAAGAAGGTAAATATTTTTAACAAATATATGCTTATAATATAAATATGTTTCACATTTTTGCGCGAAAATATCAAATATATTTCGTCTGAAACCAATCGATAAAAATGGCACTCAAATTTAATGTTTTTTTTTTTTTTTTAATATATATTGATACATTTTACGTAGCTATTGATAGTTTGAATTTTTGTTTTTATCCGGTAATAGAAAATTTTAATTTACGCATATTTTTTATTAGGTATATCTCCAAAACGAATAAACGCATTTGTCTGCGGTTTTTGCCGTTTTATAGTATTTTTTATGCTTTTTCCTAGCAGTACTACCGTTATATTTGAAATTTTCGACAGAATTTAAAAAAACGGTATCATATCCATATTACGCCATCACACACAATTGAGCCATCGAGTAGGAGCGCAGGCGCAAGATATTTCGAATAAAACTAAGATGGAAATCAAACAGAAGTTAAGTTACTTTTTCTGAAATGAAATTCAACCCTTCCCCTTTGCGTATAAAATAAATTGTGGTGGACCTAGTACCAACAGAAATATTTTTTGGGCTTGATAATTTAGATCCAATTTTGTTTTTTTGACATGTGTCAATATTAAGTAGCTTTGTAGAATTTTGAATACAGATCCTTTAAATCCATAGTGATGCAATTTTGTAAGTAATTTATCCCTATCAATAATTTCAAACGCTCTTTTAAAGTCCAAAAAACACTGTCACTGTATGTTTCCTATTGTCCATACATCTCCTCCAATCCTCTAAGACCATTTATATTGCCGTCTCATTTGAGTGTTTCTTCCTGAATCCAGCTTGAAATTCGGTGATCCTTTCGTAAATAATTTCTTCAAAAACTTTTTCAAAATCGGGCAGAACATTTATTGGCCGCATATTGGTGGGATCAGGATTCTTAACCTTCGAAATGGAGTTATGGTAGAACACTTCAGTTTTATTATTCTTGCTAAAAGTCATTAAGCTCCATTTTAGTCAAAATCTCACTCTTATTTTGATTTGATTTTTATTTTGATATAATCTTCTTGAGATGATTGATGTTTATTCTGATCTGATCTAATGGGAGATTGGTTGGAATCCCCGTCAATAATTGATCTTACAATGTTGTTAACACTTTATACTAAATAGGTATTAATTCCAACTGCTATTATTTTTTCATTTGTCATTACCTAAGCTAAAAAAATATGGAAAAATAACATTTAGAAAAAACTGAGCAATCAACATAACAGATTTATTAAATCTGTGCGTAAATGACGCATTTTTGCAAAGTAAAAATTGTAATTGAAAATACGCTCCCTAGCGGGCATTTTAGGAAGCAATTTTCCTTGGCAACTTTATGAAAAATTTTAATGGGTGGTTCTAGGTTAAGCGATGCTGATATATAACGGTAATCCTTTATTATTGGATCACCCGGTACATACATATTATAAAACTAAATTTAATAAAAAAAAAACGTAAAAATGAATATTTCCACACCTAAACTGACTAACAATTCTTCCCAGGTGGTTTAGAAGTAACTCCAGTGAAGCCGCTCCTCCTAGACTCCCCCGGCAGGCCGTCGGTGATTCAACAGACGACTGCGCCCCCGAAACCTGCGATGCAGCCGCCCGCGGTCACTTCGGTGCCGCGCAGGAGTTCCGGTGATTTCCCGCAAACGCTCAACATCAGCAAGATCAGGGTTCCACCGCCGACGACGCCGACCAAGAAGGCAGCCGCCGCGGCTACGACGAGCAGTTCGTTCGCTTTTATGAACGGATCGGTAAGTTTTAATAACAATAATTGCATTTGTTGCCCAACGGTATTTTTATGATTCCATGTACAGGATAAAAAACTGAAAACAATAAAAAACAGTACTAAGGGTCGATTTCACCAAGGTCGTGAAATAACAGTCCGTTATTCTCCACCTATGAAATGTTAAAAACAAAATATTGTCAAAGTATGAGATGACAGCTTGTCCTTGAAACCACCAGCTTATTGAATATTAAGAAATTACATATGATTTAGTCAAAATTTAAAGAAATGTTTGATTTTTGAATAAAATTCAATTAATTACTATTGTTGATTCTTTATTCATGTTTATATTATTTTCATCAATTGATATGCGTGCTTTTTTTCCTGTAGACCTCTTGCAGATAACCAAATATATGTTGTAAAGCTACCAGCAAACCTAAAACCTGCAAAAAAACTAGAAATTTGCAATATTTTTCTTTTTTCACGAGTACACATTCTATGTTACATAATTAGACATTGTTTGAATAACTGCTGATTATTACATTTCAAAACTCCCCAACGAGTGACATGTGTGGGATCCGTCAACCCTTCGTCCCAGTCACAAAACATATACACTGAAGAAGGTTTAATTCCATGCTATTCAATGACAACACGGTGACTTGTGTGGTTGTCAGCGGCCATTTTTTTAAGGTTGCGACATTGTTGCCAGATTATGCATTAATATCCCGTTTCACCCTCCTGGTCCCAGTGGGGTACGCTCCACCAACTGTTGAAATATACTCTACTATGCTTTATAAGACTATTCGTGGAATTTTTCCCAAAATAGTTGCACGACACTTAATTATTTCCATGACACCTCAAAATAGCTGCGTCGGTACCTCGGGTTATACATCTTGACAGTAGGGATGTTCGATACGATCCTATATTTAGAAGTATCGATACTTTTGCTTCCCATACCCGATATTTTTATATACGACACTTGAGTGTTTCGATACATCTCACGAGTATCGTCATCTTTCGATCCGGACTGTGTCACAAAGAGTGACTAACTTCAGATTACTTTTCTTCTTTGTTTCCTTCCGCTGGATATCGATAATTTTATTCCAATATTTTAGAGGATCGGCGCTTCCTAAAACGATAAGAATCGATACATAACGATATTTTTCGTGGATCTAACCATCCCTAATCTTGACAGCTTGTCGTTCTTGTCAACTGGGCTGCAGGGTGCGGTGTTGCCTTTACCATCTTCCATTTTGCTAAAATCATACGACAAATAAAAGTTTCAAATGAAATATTAACGAATATGAACGGATATGCATAGAATTTAGAATTTAAATTCATATTGCAAATTTCAGATTGTCTATGCATGGACTTAACCGGATTATTATTTAAAATTAACCTTTAATTTGTTAAATTTGTTAAAACTATATTTTCACTATATAGGCGTCCTTATTTTTAATTAAAAAAAATAACTAAATGTTCCTTATAATTATTCATATTTAATCAGTTAATTAAAAATAAGGACGTTTAAGTAGTGAAAATATAGTTTTAATAAATTAAAGGTTAATTTTAAATAAGCAAGAATCGAAAAAGGAGTTTCCAGAATGGTTTGCAAAGTACTTTGAAAGAGCGACCAGTATGCACATTGTAGAAAGTTGTAATATAGAACTATGCCCTCAAAAAACATGTTGTGTGCGCGCCCAATAAAATAACAGACGTTTTTCATGACTCAAAGGTGCTTGATCTACGACTGATCTTCCTTATACCGAATTCAACGACACTATTTACCGATTCCGTTCTTTTTTCCGTTTCGGCAACACAGCAGATCACTTTCAAAGCAATTGATATCGCAGACGTGTTATAATAATAGACATAATAAGAAAATATAACAATGTTTGAAGATATATTTTCATAAATAGGTATTTTTGATTATGACTTATAATATCTAGACGGTGAATAATAGGTGGATGCGGATACTTTTACAAATAACGATGTTTTAGGACCCAGAAATGCAGAATGTGCTGTTTGTTTACATTTGGTGTGGATTTCTAGATCATAGATTGTCAAAAATTGTTTTTGATGTAACAAAAGAATCAGTTGGAATACGTTTTATATCCTTGTTTTTCGCAAAATAACAAAAATTGGTACATTGGTACGTATTATGTACAACACCCTGTACGTGATATACACACAAAACTAAACTGTATCCATCGAAGAAACAAAGTAAAATCAAACATATACACCCGTATTGCACGTGATCAAGAACTTAACCGTAGGAGACGCTACAGGGCCGTATCAAGCTATTGTGACTGATCTATAAAAAAATGTCGTACAAGATATGTGTTGCTGTAAATTCTATCAAAAGCATAGTAAATTATCAGGAATATACCACGCCTTTCTAATCATATTTCGACATTAGGAATCAGTGCAAAAAATTCTGTATTCACCATTTCAGCAAAATGTTACTAAAACGCACACGAAAAAAACTTGTAGACCATCTCAATTGAAATTGTTCATATTTTATTATTAACTTACATATATACCCAATAATATTCATAAATCAACCTTCTATTCACAATGCAGAGCAAATTTTTTTGAGCAAATAGAAACTACAGACGTAGTAGTAGTAGTACAAAAGTTTATTACAGACTCCATAAAGTTTGTTATTTTGATTGCTATTAAAATTTACATGAGAAATAGGAAGAAGGTCAAAATGGCACTATTATGCTTTGGAACTCCTAAATTAACCCTAATTTTGTGTAATTATAAATTTGGAATTTCCACATTAATAACTAGAAACTTACACTTTGATTGCAGTCTATAATGAACTTACCTGTCTTGCCAAAAAGCCCGTTAAACTGCCAGTCTTAATGGTATCAATCGATTTATATGCTGTATTCCGAGGAGCTTGAATCATCAGAATTGTTGATGTCAATTATAAGGGGTTCAACTTGGGTGTCAGTGATATTGTCCGTATCCCACATTTTGGTTTCAACCTTCTCTTGGACATGGTCAATACATGTTCTCCATTTTGCTGGCGTAATTCTATCGACAGCAACATCAAACAGTTTTTTAAGGTCAGAAAACTTAAAAGTGCTGTTATTTGATGCCACGTATTGCTTGATGTCGGCCCAAATCAACTCGATAGGATTCAGTTCGCAGTGATAGGGAGGCAGCCTGAGAATCGTTTTATTTTGGTTTTTGGCCATTTCGTCAACAATTTTTAAATCATATTTATACTTATGTCGCTTGACTATATTTATCAGCTCAGCTTTGACCATTGTTTGGTCGAAGTCGATCTTCTTTGAGACAAGCCACTGTTGAATGTCTGCCTTTTTGGTGGCCATTGTTGGAATTTTTTCCAATTTTCTGGAGTGGTACGGGGCATTATCCATCACAATAATTGCGTTATCATCAAGTGTCGGCAAAAATTTTTTTAACCAATTTTCAAATGAGTTACCATCCATTTCTTCGTGATAGTCTCCAGTTTTTTTGGATTCAAATGCCCACAATGCTTCAGGAACAAATCCATCTACGCTACCTATGTGGCAAATGATCAGGCGTTTTCCCTTGCCTGAAATTACTTAGTTACTTTACTTCTCAGCGAGCGCACTAAATGACGAAATTAAGCAACTTACTCTTTTTAGGTTAGTGTAGGATAGGGTCTTAGATTAGTTTTTGGGTGAAGGAAATACTCAGAAACTTGGATGAGATAGCAAAACTGAGTTCGGAGCTTCCAAATCATTGATTCGATCAGAAAATGAATTATCTGCATCCAAAAAAGTTCATATACTTCGAAACTTACCTGCAGGATTTTTCAATCCCGTCGAAAGGCCATCTAAAAAAGCCTGCCTTGAGGACCTCACAGATCTGTCTACCCAAACCTTTCCCTGCGTATGCCCCGCGTTCACCCATGTTTCGTCTAAATAATAAATTTTTCTTCCTTCAGCGCGGAATTGCCTAATTTTTCTAAGGTATTCTCTACTCCAGATAACAATTTCCTCCTTTTCTATCAATAAACTATTCCTTCCTCTTTTCAAAAATCGAAAGTCTAGTTCTTTCAACAGCTTATGGAACGTAGATCTTTTAAAATTTGGCAGGTCCTCATCATCATTCACTTGCTTCAATATTTTATCTATTGTAGGTATTTCATTCCTGAAGAAAAAGTGATGTACTTTTCTTCTAATGGCACTTTTGTCAAAGTCATCTATTTTTTCGATGATTTTTTTTTCTCGCTGGATATGTTTTTGGCTCAGATAGTGAGTGATTTTGTCTATATTCCTTCAAGATTTTGTAAATACTTGATCGACCTACTCCAGAAATTTCAGCAACCTTACATACGATATTTTCTATAGCCAATCAACTATTCTCTTGCATCTGGTTCTTGTAGATATTTAGAATAATTTGTTTTTCACCTGCGCTAAGATGAAGCGTTTTAGCCCTTTTTCTGGGTGGCGTTAAGCTGATTTCAACCACTTCATCAGCTGTATCTGTGTCAGACATTTTAGACTAATATTAAATTTCCGCAAGAAAAATCAAGTTAAGACGTGCATAAAACGTTCGCGCTCATAAACGGGTATCCGTAATTGATTACAATCCTGTGCGTGGTGACGAACCATCAACGTGACGCTGAGAGTTCCCTCTACTATGCAGCGTTGCCAGGCTTAATGTCACAATGATCATGTTTTATTGGGAAAATTGTCAGAAATCGCCGAATGTTGAACAGAAACATTACAAGAAGTCTAACCTTGAAATGTGAGGCTACAAATCGATATTCTTATAGGGGGGAAGGGTAGGGAGCTGTTATGGTTCCTATTAACCTTGGTGAAAGTTGGAAACGGTAATATCATATATGGCATACATTCGGTTGAAGGTGTGTGCACGGAAAATAGATTGCGGATAGGATTTTAATAGATAAATCTGCACAAAAAAACACAAAAGGAGATTTTTGTATTTCCCTGAAGAATATCTCAAGGTTATTTCAGATGTACTCATCGAAACTTTATGGAAGGATTATCGAAACCTTATTTTCAATTGCGATAGGGCCACATACCTCGACAACGCATTAATGTGAAAAATAAGACAATAGAAAAAAAATCCCTCACTGATGCTATCTCTTAGGAAAAAATTAACTATAAAGATTGCACAAAAATTTTCTTCACCTTTTTGAGCTTGTTTTCGCATCTCCGTATATGCCGTTCATAATTTGCTGCAGATCAAATTGGAATATACCTTTGTGATGCCATTTATTGTTATATAATGTCCTTTACAACAGTTATTGCACGTATTGCACCAACAGATTGATTTGTGATCCATGCGAATGTGATCAACCACTCTGGCGAAAACTTGCCGAGCGTGGCAACCGTGCGACTTTGTCTGCAGGCTCGTCGCTACAAGCCAATCAGGAAGAGGCCGACAGAGCGCCATAGCTACCGATCACGCGTTGATCACGAATCAACCACTGTTTACGATTACTTTGTAGCTTCGTTAGATACACTATAGATAGCCATGCATGAACAGTCGTCAAAAACAGTGAAAACATCCTACCAAATATAATAGCTAGAAAATTTGCCGCATTGCCATTGGTCCCACTTAAATAACTGGCCGTCTTTTGTGAAATGATAAAAATTTGAAATTCTATGAAAGTTATCCTAATTCAAAAGCACAAAGACATAATATTACATCTATAATGTACTCTTATTTATAAGGCAACCGTTTTTTCACGACTTTATTCAACATTTCAATAGAAATCACTGATATTCAGAGAGCTTTGACAGCTTCTGTCAAATTGCATTTCGATAAGGTCTTTTCCTATTGGTACAAGGGACAGTTAAATATCAATGTTGGTGAAATTGGCCCTAATTTGTTCAAGTTCAAGAGATTAAACGAACATTATTATAATATCTACAGTAGGGTGTTCCAGCCTATCAGGCAAACAAATTTTTGTTCGAATTGAGACACGCATACTCTCTATTGTTTTTTCCATTTCGGTCAAGATATTCAGCTCGCTTTACGAAACCTTTCGTTCCAGGCCCCCCCGAAAGTGGTGCAGTCGAAATCCATCTACACGTACTCGGAAAAAACCATCTACGGCAACCCGAAGGACGTCCTGACCACTTTCCAGCCAGCACCGGCTCGCACTCCCAAGTTCAGGGAGACGATGCCTCAACACGCGGGCGGTAACCCCGTCGATTTATCCGTCACGAGCCCTCAAAAACCGGTGCTTGAAATCATGAGGGTTCCGCAGCTGCCGAACACACCTTACAACAGAGAATCGGTAACGAAGAACCTCACCACTCCTCTCATGGACGGTCGAAGGTTGGGGCCGAATTTGGAGATCACCTTGGTCAATCCTAAGAACAAGACTTCGCCGCAAGCGGTGGCGAAAGCTGCTAGCTTCAGCCCTCAGGGGCAAGGGCAGGTTTCCAGCAGCCAGTCACATAAGAGAAGAGTCAGCGATTATTATAGTCCCAGGAAAGCTATGAAGGGCGATGATAAGTTCGTGAAACCTTTACCTGTTGATCTAAACGTACCGAATCCTTTTAAGAATTCCACTCAACCCAAAGCACAATCTTCTAAGCATAACATAACGTCTCCTACTTTACCCGCATTCCCTCCGTTTCTGGCTCAGTTGTACGAGCAAACCGCCAAGAGCGGCATCTCGCCGTATTTGCCGTTTATGGATCCCGCGATGTACTATTCGGCGACGATGCAGAATTTATACTCGGCGCAAAGTTTCAATAACGCCTCGTTCCTTCCCATTCCTACACCGGAACAGATCAAGCTCTACACCGAGTTGATGGCTAGAAGTAGGTTGAACTTTCCCATGCAGATGCCTCTGGACGGGATCAATCCGTTGCTGAATAACAACATGAAGAAACAGTAATTTTTTTGGGCTGAAACGCGATCCCGGGCGTTTCGAATTTAGATTTCACCATTGGGAAGCTAACATAACGGCAAAGATGGGAAAACGGATTTTCCAAAAATAGTATTTATTTTTTCCTGGCTGTTTGAGGCGAGACTGCAAAATGAAGAATACATTAACTTATACTGTACTTAATCATCAAACTTATTTTTTCTTATAGACCCCATATTGGATTTTTACAAAGCTGAATAGAGTATTTAATTTTGATTTGAAAAAGGATTAACATGTCATATTGTAACGGAAACGTCGTTTTCACTAATTCTCACACTAATTTATAAAACTTGCAAATTTATGACCATATCGACTGGCTCCACGCTGTTGGCTCAGTCAGTCGACTGTGCCTGCCCTCTGTGCGTGTATTTATCTACGAATCCAGAAACGCTCCCGCATTCTCTGGATCGAAGGTTTTCTAGATTGCGGTCGATGTTTCTTTATTCGCGGTGAACCTGCTCGGCATGCGATGACGTAATTTATAACAAATTTATGACCCTATCGACTGGACTATGGTTCCACGCTGTTGACGCATCAGTCGACTGCGCCTGCCCCCTGTCCGTGTATTTATCTACGAATCCGGAAGCGCTCCCGCATTCTCTGAATCGAACTCGATTCCTCTAGAGCGTTATCGATGCTTCTCGACGACGTCACGAACGCTCCCGATATTCTTGTTGCCTAAGCGTCGATGTTACGAAGGTTTCTCAAGGTTTAAGAGAGCGTCACATCAGCAAAAAGACCACCGCAATTTTTGCCTATTTGGTGGAGCTCGCACGGATGTTGACTCTGTCGAATATACTCGCCATTCTGCTGTCTGCGCGCCTATTTATTCTCAAGCTGCTCAATCCAGAACCTTCCAGAAAGGACGCGAGCCTCAGCGACGTTGTCTAGGTGGGGGTCGATTCCTCTCGATCGTTGTCGATGCTTCTCGACGACGTCACGAACGCTCCCGATATTCTGGTTGCCTAAGCGTCGATGTTACAAAGGTTTCTCATTGTTTCTCAAGGTTTACGAGGGCGTCACAATAGCAAAAAGACGACCGCAATTTATGCTTATTTAATGGATCTCGGACAGATGCTGACTCTGTCGACTCTATTCTGTATTCTGCTGTCGGCGCGCCTATTTATTCTCAAACTGCTCAATCCAGAGCCTTCCAGACGGGTCGCGAACCTCATCGAAGCAGTCTAGATTGCGTTCCTTATCGATGCTTCTCGACGACGTCACGAACGCTCCCGATATTCTGGTTGCCTATGCGTCGTTGTTACGAAGGTTTGTCATTGTTTCTCAAGGTTTACGAGTGCGTCACATCAGCAAAAAGACCACCGCAATTTTTGCCTATTTGGTGGAGCTCGCGCAGATGCTGACTCTGTCGACTCTACTCTGTATTCTGCTGTCTGCGCGCCTATTTATTCTCAAACTGCTCAATCCAGAACCTTCCAGAAAGGACGCGAGCCTCAGCGACGTTGTCTAGGTGGCGGTCGATTCCTCTCGATCGTTGTCGATGCTTCTCGACGACGTCACGAACGCTCCCTATATTCTGGTTGCCTAAGCGTCGATGTTACGAGGGTTTCTCATTGTTACTCAAGATTTACGAGAGCGTCACAATAGCAAAAAGATGACTGCAATTTTTGCCTATTTGGTGGAGCTCGCACAGATGCTCACTCTGTCGACTATACTCTCCATTCTGCTGTCGACGCGCCTATTTATTCTCAAACTTACCAATCCAGAGCCTTCCAGACGGGACGCGAGCCTCGTCGAAGTTGTCTAGGTGGCGGTCGATACCTCTCGATCGTTGTCGATGCTTCTCGACGACGTCACGAACGCTCCCGAGTTTCTGGTTGTCTAAGCGTCGATGTACGAGAGAGTCTCACAAAGTTCTAGCTATGAGGGCGGAACAATACTTTAACCTTGGTTATTTAAACAATATTTTCATACTTGGCTTTGAAAATCACAATCCGATTAAATTATCAATGCTTCAATTCCGACTTTTCGAACATTGGAAATACTCATTTTTATGACCTTTCAGACATCGAACATTTTATATTTCCTTTGAAACGACTAAGGTTTGGAAACGTCAATGTATGACATATCGAACATTTTTAGAATCATATTTAAAATGCAAAAATCCAATATGGCGTATATAAGACAAAATTAAGTTGAAATGAAACCTTCCAATTACGCCATCTAGAATGGGAGAAAAAGTGGCAATGTACCTTTTATTTTGCGGCTTCATTTCGAATAGAGTTGGGAAAAAATAAAACTATATTGGGAATATTCTGTTTCTTTGAATTTGCCTCCATTTAACCGATTTCGTATCTCTTACCGTTTCCGAGATCTTGATGGTGAAAGTTGAGTTTGAAACAGGGTATGTTAAGGCAATTAGAGCAATTTGAAAAAAAAATATTAACAGGAAGATGCTTATACTTACTCGTAAAAGAGTGGTTAAGAGTGAAACAGTGTCGCACTTCTATATGCGAAAAACGTTATTTTTTCCTATATAGTCTTCAATGGTTATAATAGACGAAATGTAGAGTGTTCTCCACATTCTTGTCTGAGACTGTTCTATTGGTTTATACTATATAAACACAAAAATGTTGGATCGGGAATTCCTGATTATAAATAGTTTAACGCAACGTCAGAGTTTATAAACCGAAGTTTAAGCTATTAACACGTGCCTAAGTGACTTTCTATAAATATTTTTTTCAATCAAATGAGCTCTACTGAATGATTCACTTTATAACATCAAAGCCAATGTTTCTACAAGGCGATCTGGTCTTTGAAATGGAATGTGACGTTCGTTTGTGTAAAATTTTGTGTAATTTTCTTTTTGTAAATGTAGGTATGTATTTGATGACGCATTACGCATTACTGATGTAATAGTGCTGTTAAGGTTGCGTTGACAGTTGCAGAAGATTGAGAGGTGATACAAAACATAAATCTTTGCTTGTAGATAGATCTGCTGTTTCAAATTCCGTATGGTTCTAAGACAAAGAAACACAGGAATCAAGTTAATAAGAGTTTTTTTTTCTAAGGATTGTCTGCTATCTTTACTTCCCCCGGCCGGCTTGCGTAGTATCAATAGGATCTTAAAAAGGCTAACAATAAACATCGGTCGAAATGGCTTTTTGGAACTTAATATCCCAACTTTGAGGATATTCTGTATAAAGTAAATTAGCCGCTGCTCTCTCTCGGGCGAACATCCACGCGACAAATTTTTTACCTGAACTGAAGAGGTCAACGATTCCTCGCCGATGTAAAGAATTGTGAATTGTGACTACCAGGGCAATATAATTTATTGCACATAAATAATTAGGGAGACAACATTGGGAATTTAGTTATTCAGGCATGAAATAACGAATAGACGGTCACCAGTCTTTTGCGAATATAAAGATGTTTTGGGGAATGGAGAATCTCATCTATTTTAATACCTTTTCCTCAAGCAAATAATACCAAGGCATAAGAAAGTTGTCCCCGATTATTAAAAAAGATACTGTTTTTCTATATTACAAGGGTTTCCATAGCCGATCAATACTAAGCCTACCAGAACATAAGAAAGTTGATCTAGAAACAATAATTCGTATTTGAAGCCCATGATTTCAATTTTGCCAAATCAACGTTTTTTTCGTATTCTATGGCTTAATGGCAGAGTACAAGGATTTTCATAGCCGGCAAACAAAAAAGATACTGGGGCGTACAAAACTTTAAATGTCGAGAATAGCGCGGGAAGTAAAGAGTCAACCTATTCGACGCCAAAAATCGTCTAATTCTTATAACTGATACATCACCATAAAGATTAAACGTTTCAAGAATGGCAATTATATAGAAAAGTAGAACCAAGTTTTATAATGACGTATCATTTATTATTGAAAATTAATGACTCATCTTAAGGTTTTGGTATATCTGTTATAGGAAAACTTGCTGCCCAACTTGAGGATATTCTGTATAAAGTAAATTAGCCGCTGCTCTCTCTCTCTCGGGCTAACATCCACGCGACAAATTTTTTACCTGAACTGAAGAGGTCAACGATTCCTCGCCGATGTAAAAATTGTAACTACCAGGGCAATATAATTTATTGAATATAAATAATTAGGGAGACAACATTGGGAATTTAGTTATTCAGGCCTGAAATAACGAATAGACGCTCACCAGTCTTTTGCGGATATAAATATGTTTTGGGGAATGGAGAATCTCATCTATTTTAATACCTTTTCCTCAAGCAAGGCATAAGAAAGTTGTCCCCGATTATTAAAAAAGATACTGTTTCTCCAATCATATTTTTCTATATTACATGACCAGCTGTAAGGGTTTCCATAGCCGATCAATACTAAGCCTACCAGAACATAAGAAAGTTGATCTAGAAACAATAATTCGTATTTGAAGCCCATGATTTCAATTTTGCCAAATCAACGTTTTTTTCGTATTCTATGGCTTAATGGCAGAGTACAAGGATTTTCATAGCCGGCAAACAAAAAAGATAATAATAGCGCGGGAAGTAAAGAGTCAACCTATTCGACCCCCAAAATCGTCTAATTCTTATAACTGATACATCACCATAAAGATTAAACGTTTCAAGAATGGCAATATAGAAAAGTAAAACCAAGTTTTATAATGACGTATCATTTATTATTGAAAATTAATGACTCATTTTGATACCCAGTCTCAAATTTTTGCAACGACTTGATTTTAGCTTTGTGTATAAAAACTCGTATTTTTCCTCTCTTTGCAATGTGTATATGTATCTTAATGTATGTCTGTAAAAAAGGTGGAATATGTAAGTACACATCATATATGCGACGCTCTGTATATAAAGGCCAGATTAAAGTTAGTGTCTGTGATTTTTTCATTATGTATGTATATGATTACGTAAGTAGGATTTACACTTTGTACATATATACTGTATTTCTAGTTTTAGTCAATTATCATTTACGTTTTTACATAGGTCTTGTACATACAGTTGATTTTTACATCCATTACTATGTGTTTAGGTTATATTTTAAGCATTACGCCATTAAAAATAAATACAATAAACTTGAGTATTATTCTATTCTGTCCCTCATCATAACAAAAAATAAATAACGGCAAAGTTGAGAATAAACTTTTCATATACGACTTGGTTTATAAATGACACAATATTCAAAACTGCTCAGGATTTACTATAAACATATTTAATACATACGAGGCTTGTTCAATAAGTTCCCGTGTTTGACGACAGAGGGCGTTCCTGAGGGAAGTTGCTGTTATTACCGTATGCTGCCATCTATCAAACGACGGCACAACAAATTTCAGACTGATTGATAGCAGTGTTGCCATACGTAGCGGAATTCCGCTATTTGTAGCGGATTATTTTGAGAAGAGCGGCGTAGCGGCGGTAGAGCAAATTAGCCCAAAATGTAGCGGAATTTATTACATACAAAACTATCATATTTATTTCACTGTTTTAACGTTAATAACGTTCTAAATCCTAAATAGGCAGTGGCTAGTCTGATTTATTATCACATTAATAATAAAATTGGTGCATTTGGTGCCGCTTGAGCCATCTAGGAACAGAGAAGAAAATTATTCCACTTGCCTTTTTTTTCAATAACAGATGGCGTACGTACTGCTTTCAATACTAATCGTTTTCTAACAGGTCTCAGCAGGCGAGCAGGCAGACATAATATTAGGTTTCTCGCTTTGTATCGTATTTTTCAGCTCTGGGTATATACTGTTTAGTTTCGTTTATATTAGTGTTCTTATTTTTGTGTTGATCATTTTATTGATATATCATTTGCTGCAGATTTTAATATTAAATCTACTGGTAAGTAACAAAACTGCTTAAATATCTAACATATTATAGTTTGATCCAGAAATAAATCTTAGTCGCAAAATTTGTTTTTAACGCTTTTTCTTCTGGAAAATAGGAATAATGGAAAGGCGACAGCAGACCATTAACGATTTTTTTTATAAAAATCTTTCTAAAAAACAAACGGTGAAACCAAACGTGGTCGTACCATTCACTTCACAGACAAAATAGAAGAGCGGAATCTAGTGGAATCAGGTCTGAGCCTGATAATTCGACTTGCGAATCTCGGGATAACCAAGAGCCAGAGCAACCTGTTAAGAAAAAGACACGAAAACAAATTTTTACTTCATCATGGCTAGAAGATCCGTTATTTAAAGGCTGGTTGGGACCTATTGAAAATGACAAGTTTAAAGCAAACTGTAAAGCTTGTAATCAAATAATGGGTGCTAAAAAATCAGATTTAGTGAATCATTCGAAATCAAAAAGGCATGCCACTAATGTACAAGCAATTTCGAATGTAAGAACGTTAGATAGCACTTTTCAGTCTCGAGAAGCACGTTAGTTGGAAAAACGGCAAATATTTGCTTACTTAAAGATATAGTCTTTTAGTTGTAAGTCATTATATAAGTTTTAGAACTGTTGATCATATAACAGGAGTTAGTCAATTATGTTTTAAAGACCCAGATCTCTCTAGCTCACTTAAATTAAAAAGATCCAAATGCATAAGTATAATTAAAAATGTGCTGGCTCCTGTTATTAAAGACGAAATAATTTCAGAATTAATAAACCATTTTCTATTTTATTGGATGAGAGTACAGACCTGAGCAATACAAGACTACTATGCATTCTTGTAAGGTATATTCATAAAAATTTAATTAAAACCCATTTATTAGATATAATTAAAATAAACGCAGATGAAGGTACCGTCAAAGGTTTATATTCTCTTTTTAAAAAATGCGTTATATCCAATCAAGTAAAAATTACCAATATTGTTGGATACTGTTCCGACAACGCTAGTGTTATGATGGGCAATGACGAATCTTTCAAAACTTATCTTTTAAAAGATAATCCTAATATAATTGTCAATGGCTGCATTTGCCACTCTGCTCATTTAGTGGCGGTGGCGGCAGCTGAAAAGATTCCAAGCAACGTTGAAGCTCTTTTACAAAACTTATATTCTTACTTCTCAAGAACAAGGTGGCTTGCTTTATCCAAATGTGTTGATAGAGTTTTGGATCAGTGGGACATCTTGCTTAGCCTATTTAGATTACTTCCATTGAAGACAAAAATCCTGTAGCAAATGTAATACTTAATGAGTTACAAAATCCATTTGTTAAGGCGTATTTAATGTTTTTTAAATTCCTGTTGTCCATTTTTAACCAATTTAATGCTCTCTTTCAATCAGAGAAAGTTATGCTCAATATCATATCAATAGAGAGTAAGCGATTTGTACGTCATCTATGTACAAACTTTATGCGACCAGAATATTTTAAAAATGAGAAATTATATAATCTAAATCCTAATGACCCCCACTGCTTATTACCAATTGAACAAGTGAATGTTGGTCCGCATACAATGGATGCAATAAAACACTGCAATAACACGGCATTCGAACAATTTAAATTAAAATGTGTCACATTTTACCAAAAATCGGTAGAAGAGTCCCTTAAAAGATTTCCTATCAAAGACAACTTCTTTTCAGAGCTAAAGTTTCTCTCACCGGTTGATGTGATGAACAATCGTCTTATTATAAGTGATACCTTTCATGACGCCGTTTTAAAAAAATTTGCCCTTCATATTGAAACCGAAAAGGCAATTTTGGAACTAAAGAAAATATGTATTTATTTTAGTGATAGTGAGAAAGAGGGAATTTTAAAAACAAAAAGTAATGTCATTGAATTTTGGTCGTTTGTAAACGACCTTAAAAATTTTAATGACGAATATTTATTTCGCAATATAGGTAAACTGGCTCTAATCATTTTAACATTGCCTCATGGAAACGCTGATGTTGAGCGAACTTTTTCTTATATGCTTGATTACAAAACAAAAAAAAGAAATAAAATAATACCATCCACTTTGTCTGCACTACTTACAATTAAATTAGACTTGGAATCAAAAAAACAGTGCTGTTTATCCTATAGTTTTAATGAGAATCATTTAAACAAATATAAAAAGAATTTATATAATGTAAACAAGGAAGAACAAGCTGAATTTCTGATTCTGACTGTGAATAAAATAAGCAAACGTAGGCATTTCCACGTTTCCGCTTCTTCTTTGTCCTTATTTTTTGTTTTTTTTTTTTCTATTAAGATTAAGATATTGGTGATAGTTTCTATTTTTTTATTAGTTCCTAATTCTAAACCAAAGACAGTTTTGTTTTTTAGAGGTATACTTTTTATGTTTTTACGAAAAACTGCAATTATATTATGTTACTGTTTGTATTTTTAGTAGGGTTTTTAGACAGTGTTTAAAAAAAAGTAAATATGTAAAAAATATATTTGTTGTTTATTTTAAACCTCCCCCCCCCCTTAAATTTTTAGACCGTAGCGGCATGTAGCGGAATTTTGCGATACGTATGACGGATATTTTAAACTTCGCAACACTGAGTAACAGGTGTTTCGTGATTTTCGCTAAGACGGAAAAAGAGCAGTTTCGTTCGGTAATTCTCTTTTTGTTTTTGGATGGGAAAAAATGCGAGGAGATAAAAGCAAAGTTGGATGGTGTTTATGGGGACACTTCGCCATCTATGACCACAATTGGATATTGGTTCAACGAATTTAAACGTGGGCGAACATCCGTTTTTGATGAGGAGCGACCAGGACGCCCGCCAGACGTGGTTCCCGAGGAAATCATTAAGTCCACGACATGATTCTCGCTGATCGACGAACGAAAGTGCGCGAAGTAGCAGAGGCCGAGTTATTGGACCGCTTCAACAAAAAATTGAAGGAGACACGGCCACATTTGGCGAGAATGAAGGTGCTGTTTCACCACGATGACGCACCAGCCATTAATCCGGAGTTGTCGCCGCCAAACTGCATGAATTGCGTTATGAAGTGCTGCCACACCCCCCGTATTCACCCGATCTGGCCTCCTATGACTTTTTCTTGTTCCCTAACATTAAGAAATGGCTCGCGGGAAAAAAATTATCTCAAACGGGGAAGTCATCACCGAGACAGAGGCATATTTTTTGAAAGGGTTAAAAAATGGCAGGAACGTTGGGAACTGATAGAATTTTTTTTTTGTTTTTTTGGAAACATTGGTGTCTTCGGGTACTTATTGCACCGCCCTCGTATGTATATTTATACATCTATTTAGATGATACAAATAAGGATTATCCTTAATCTAAAATGATGCAATCCATATCATCTTGATCACAGTGCAGCTCAATACCTTCATTATCATCAGTGTTATGTTTTTCAGTACTCTTCTTGTCAAGTTTTTGTTTTTTATTTGATGTTTTTTCCTTCTCACTTCCTTCTTCCTCACCAGTTGTCAGGGTAGTTTTTCTGATTGCAATTTTACGTTTGCATTTACCCTTTGTTTTCTTTGGGGATACATCATTCTTTTCACTTTCAGAAGATTGTGATTTTGAATCACTTTTTACTTTAATTCCTTCATCCTTATTTTCTGATTTTTTATCACCTTTTGCTTCTTCTTTTTCTAAGCTTCCTTGGTTTTTCGTCTGTGGTTTTTGATCACATTTTCCTTTGGCATCTTCTTTCTTTGGTTTTGTTTTTCCCAAAGATCCTTTACTTGAAGGTTCACCAGTTCTACTTGAATCAGCCACTTTTTCTGAAGTTTTTCCAACTGTTGTTTCAGGTTTACCTGTATCTTTTGCTTTCGTTAAATTTTCATTTTCTATATCACCCCTTTTATTCTGTTTTTTCTTTGTAGTCACTTTGCTAAACTGGCCATCTTTGTTAGATGCAACCTTTGAACTTTGATCAGTTGAAGGATCTGCATCAACACACACTTTATCTTCTGCTTTCTCATGTTTTTCTACAATCTTCTCCATATCCTCTATCCTAGATTTATTTGAATCAACTTCCTTTATGTTAGAATCTTGGTCCAAAGTAACTTCTTTAACTTTGCCTGAATTACTGTTTTGCAAAATATCTGGAACATTTCCATTCTCGCTATCTTCCTCGCTTCTAGTATTTGTGCTGCTAGCCTGCTTCTTTGCATTTTCATCCTCTTCACTGTCTTGATTTGTACCATCTACTTTTGAAGCATCTTTCAAATTCTCATTATCAACAGTCATAGGATTTTCAGAATTGATTCCATCTTCCTTTGATGATGTTTCTTTATCCTCGACTGCTGGTAATGGTATACTAGCGACATCTTTAGAGTTTGCTTTGTCACTAGAATCTGCAGATCTAATTATCTCTACTTGTTGAATAACTACAGATTTTCCACTAGTAGTAGCCTTAGAATTATTTCCACTTTCTACTTCTTGACTCACTGCCTCTACTGAAGGCTGTGTGTCACTGTCTTCTCTGGCATTTGTACCACCTTCTGCAAATAATAGTATTTTTATAATTATATGAAGAAAAATGTATACAATGTCAAATGATACAATTCAATTGTTTTACTTATGAAATCAATGAACATGATGCCATCAAAAGGGTGCCACAATGAGAATTCAATATTAAAAATATGTTAAAGAAGACTATGCCTTACCAGAGTTGCCATAAAAGCTTCCATTGGTTGGCTTTTGTCCTTTCCAAAAATGATCTTCACCGTTCATTGCATCACCTTTCTTCTTTTCACCATCTTCATTCTCAGATTCACTAGATGTAATCACAATCTCTTCATTCTTAGGAAGCTCTATTATCACAGCATCGTCATCTCCATCATCTTGGTCTTGAGCTACTTCTTTCTCTTGGGCTTTCTTCTTTTCTTTCTCCTGCTTCTTATTGCTCTCCAAAGCTAACTGAGATCGAATTGCTCTAGCTCTTGCCTGTAATTCCAATAGCTCTAAAACACTCATCAAGTTTTGTTCATTCACTGGATTGTCTGATTTATCTTCAGCAGTTTTTCCTTTCTCTGGTATTTCTTTATCTGGCTTTGCCTGTTTTTCTTTTTTCACTTTTTTGGGTTGAGGTTCTTCTTTGATTTTGTGTCTGTGTTTTCTGCAGCGTCTTCTTTTGGATTCTTTATCTGGAAGGCAACATATTGTTGAGACTGGATTTCACGAGACTCTAGACTTTAAAAAATATATCTAGGACAAAAAGGCAATGTTCTCAAATTGTAAAAAACGCATTTTGGTCTTTTATCTGGCAGCCAGTAACTTGTTTTAGTCTTATCTGATAGTGATATACCTGAATCTAAATCTATAACATCCTCTAGTGCATCATCACTGATATCATCCAGTGATATCACATCTATAGGTTTTTGATCATCTTCTGGGTCAGTAGAACTACTGTCTTCCTCCAGATTCATACCATTGAATATATATTTTAACCTTTTATTTGAGATACCCAGAAGTTCTTCCAAGAGCATGGAGTTGATCTCTTCATTTTCCATATTCTAAAAATCCTCGCTTTAGGTATAACAAATATGCAAAAATTAAAAACATACCCTCATGAATTGAGGTGCCATACTCCTGATTTTCTTAGGTTTGATAATCTTCAGAACTTCCTTTATTAGTTTTACCCTGTCGTTGATATAGTAAGATAATTCATGTTCTATTTCATCGCCAGATTCTGTTTTTTCATGGATCAGTTTGCTTAATTTCTTTTCCTTCGTAGAAGGCTTTTTCTCGGGCCACCTCCTAAGCGAATTCATAATTTCTGCGCGTTAAATAACTGCAATACGTAAGTTTTAACTCTGTTTTAAAGAAAAAAGAAACGAAAACAAAAATATTTTGATTTTTACACGAAGTGAGGTTAGGGCAAATGTCATACAAACGTCACTGTCAGTTTTACTTGACAGATATCCGTTCCACTTATCCGCTCGTTGACTTTTCGTCTAACATAAATATTTAAATTAATGTACATTTGGCAATAATTTAGAGTTATCAGTTATTAATTTCTCATTGAACTGACTATTTTATAAGAAATATTCCTTAATTCACTCTGGCTTTTCGGAATCTCCTTACATTTCTTTGGTAAAACTTTGTTTGGTTAATAAAGGGAACCAACTTGTAAAACCTGAATAATAAACACACATTGAAATTGACCAATCAGACGTCTACACATGTTTTCAGGGTTGTATGGAGTGTATTTGAATGATCTTGTAAAATCTAATGCAATTTTTAATAAAACTGTGTTAAAACTGGTACCCATATCGTACCTGATCGCGACACGATGCAACTAAGCTCGTGTAGTTGCTTTATTTTACTAAACTTAATCTCAATTACGTTGGTGTTAGCTGGTAGAGACTTTTATAGAATCCTAGGTGTATCCAAAACTGCCAGTCTCCACGAAATAAAGAAATCTTACAGAAGATTAGCCAAAGAACTGCATCCTGACAAGAACAAGAATGATCCTAATGCTTCGAAGCAGTTCCAGGACCTCGGAGCAGCGTATGAGGTGCTTTCAGATGAAGAAAAAAGGAAGAAGTACGATAGATGTGGAGAGGACTGCTTGCAGAAAGACGGGATGATGGACGGGAATATGGATCCTTTCGCCAGCTTCTTCGGAGATTTCGGGTTTCATTTCGGTGGCGAACAGAAACATGAGACACCCAAAGGTGCTGATCTAGTGATGGATGTTTTTGTCACCCTAGAAGATCTCTATACAGGTAAATATACATCACACTTATGCAGCATGTCATGAGAACATATTGGTAATCGCTTAGATTCGTATAGTTTAAAAAATTGTATGGAAAAAATATGCTAAAGGGTCCTTTGCAACATGCTAATCTTCATATTCTATTTATTTCTGTTTTGATTATATTCAGACAGTACCATGATCAATAACGGTTGGGTATGATTTAGGCTTTTTAACACCAATGAAATGGTAGTCAATAATTTGCTCAGTTGGTGAGAACAGCACGCATAGTCACATGCACCTTGCAGAAACATTCAACTTGTGATTAGGGATTTTTTATGAAGCACAACAAAGTTTGTGCTGCTAAATTTCTTCATATAATGTGACATTTTAACTGCTCACTCATTGGAAGCTAACAATGATATAATTCTGGTAATAGATGGCGCTTTGCACTGCCTTATTTTGATAGGTTTCATATCTCAGATAGAGCATAGTTGCTGTGCTTTCATTTGTTGTCACAGAGACCAAGCCTAGACCATTCTAATCAGTTGCCAAAAAGCACAAAACAGTGCATGGTCTTTGTTCTGATGGATGAAAACAGCATGTTATTTAGCTATTATAATTCATTTTTACCTAGGGGTAATATACAGAGGCAGATCTAAAATGATGCACAAAAAGCACTGTTTCATCGAGTACTCAAGGGGGTTGAAGGGGCATAGAAATCAGGACATAAATATACTAACAAAAAATATTTATTATAACATCTCCCACTCCCTAAAACTCCCAAACCTCAGATTTCAACTGTTACAAAAAAAATCCTGAAGATGATCAGGAGCCTCTGTAATATCAAAACACGAATTTTTAAAGATTTTTATTTTTTTCGTGTTTTTCCTCGCCCAGTAGCGTAGGAAGTAAAAAATGAATTATATGTGTGGTCTACTGTCTTTTTCACGAGAATCCATTACAGTAGAATAGCAGCCGATTATCTAGTAACATTTCAAAATTCCCCATATCAACAAATGACATAATTCTGACGTATCCGTCAACGCCAGGTATACAGAACCGTATTTTGTTTCGGTTTTTTGTACACTACAGTTTCATTTTATACTTGCTAACCAACTCTTTTAATTAGAAAAGTTCATTTGCATACAAAGAAAAAGCTACAATCAAGTTTTACGAGACTTACACCTGATCCATTATTGCCAAGGTTCTACTAGTTCAAAGTCATTTGCTGATAAGCGTGATGGATACTCTTGATATATAGCTTAAGTAGTTTCATGCCCCATACCAATCCTACAAATACGTACATTTAAGCAGTCTGGCACATGACGGACGTAGATTTGGGTGGCCTATAATTATATATGCATGTCCCTTACTCTTTTTCTCCTCTATTGGTTTTTGTGCATACAACAGATACAGACTGGTAGATCACTGTCAGTACCGCATCACCGGACAAGCAATAAGGAAGCCAAAGCTCATCTATGGTTATTTAAATATAAATGAAAATGTCACGTGATGTCTGGGGGATAAAACAGAAAAATATTCACAATCCTATGAACAAAGATGAGAAAAGTAGCTTCCAGTTTGTATCCACGTTAATTTGAACAGTATGGTCATTGTACAAGTTGTAATAATGTTAATAGTTTTCAGGGATAGATGACCTCAAAGCACCTGTATTGTGTGTGCGGGTAATATAAAAATATACATTTTTTCATGATGCAAATGCCCTTGATCTACCGCTTATCTTGCGACGACCTTTTTTTCCTCCTACCGATTCTATCATTGAATCCACTGAATTTCAACGTCACTATCTACCAATTCCACCTTTCTCGGTTCGCTGGCAATGAAACAAATACAAATTCTTCCAGGTACTTTCATCGAAATAACCCGCAACAAACCAGTAATGAAACCCGCAAAGGGCACTCGAAAATGCAACTGTCGCCAGGAGATGATTACAAGAAACCTAGGCCCAGGCCGGTTCCAAATGACACAGCAAACGATGTGCGATGAATGTCCAAATGTCCAACTAGTGAACGAAGAACGTGTGCTCGAGATGGAAGTTGAACCGGGAATGGTGGACAAACAAGAGACGAGGTTTACCGCCGAAGGAGAACCACATTTGGACGGAGATCCAGGGGATCTGATATTGAAGATCAGGACGCAACCGCACCCGGTGTTTGAAAGGAAGGGGGATGATTTGTATACGAATATAACTATCAGTTTAGAGGTAAAGTTGCTTTGTTATGTCGAATTCACACATTAGAGACAACGTTGGAGCCAACATTCAGCGCCAGCGCTCATTGGCTTTGCGTTCACGCATTGGCGTTGGCCTTCGTTTCATCCCAGTGAACCTGATGACGCCAAACTGACGTCATAATTCGGTCACTTTTGGTCTGAAACGTCATTAGCTGAAAATTACATCTTTATTGACGCCATTTTTATGACGACAACAAGACGTCATTTAAAATGCTGTCATTTTGACTTCCTTTCTATGACAGTCACACACACCTATATAGAAAATACAGGGTGTTTCAGTTTATTGTTGCATAACTTTAAGATTCGATAGAACTTTTAAAATTAATGCATAAAGTCTATATAAACATGGGTCGAAAAATGCGTGGCTTCCGAAATACAGGGTTTTAAATTTACTTTTTAAAATAGTTTTTTTTTTAAATATTTCGAACAATATTTGATGTATAACAGTGAAAATTGGTATACAAGGGTTTTTTGATACGACAAAACTGATTGTTCGCACTTTTCTGCATAAAAAAGCTCTCCTGTGAGTTTTCGTTATAGTTAGCCGTTTTTGAGATATTTCGATTTTTAAGGTTCGATGCATTTTTAATTATTTATGGGAAAATAATATTTTTTTTACATTTTCGATTTGGGCATTACAAGTAGTTAAGGTGATCGTTTAGATTGTGTGTGATTTCGTGCATTCACAATTGCCAAAAAACGTTTCAGGTTTCAACAGACAACAAAACTAACTGTTTTTCAATTTCAAAAATATTTGCAGGCACAACCTACTCCAAAAAATTATCGAGATACTGACTTTTTAACGTTATTTTATCATAAATAATTAAAAATGCATCGAACCTTAAAAATCGAAATATCTCAAAAACGGCTAACTCTAACGAAAATTCACAAGAGAGCTTTTTTATGTTGAAAAGTGCGAGGAATCAGTTTTTTTATTCAAAAAGCAAAAAATTGCACTAACCAAAAATTTTTGCTCATTTTAATACACTACAGGTACAGTAGAGAGCGCCCTCTAGCGGATACAGTAAAACTATGCCCATGGTTCGTTTTGTCGTACCAAAAGACCCTTGTATACCAATTTTCACTGTTATACATCAAATATTGTTCGAAATATTTAAAAAAAACTATTTTAGAAAGTAAATTTAAACACCCTGTATTTCGGAAGCCACGCATTTTTCGACCCATGTTTATATACACTTTATGCATTAATCTTAAAAGTTATGCAACAATAAACTGAAACACCCTGTATAGAAAATATAAACTTTGTATTAACAGTAAGGTGAACTGGATATCAAAATGCTAATAACTAATTTGTTTATAAAAAGTCGTATTTACGTCTTACAGACGTCAAATCGACTTTGTATTTGGTCTTTTATATGTCATACGTCTGCATATTCCAATTTCAGGATGCATTGGTAGGTTTCACTATGGAGATTCCTCACTTGGATGGCCATCTGGTGTCAATCACGAGAGATAAAATAACGTGGCCCGGAGCTAGAATCAGGAAGAAGGGTGAAGGCATGCCTAACTATGAGAACAACAACCTGCATGGTATTTTGTATATAACTTTTGATGTAGAATTTCCTAAGCAAGAATTGTCAGTGGAGGATAAAGAAGGTAAGGACATTGATTTTGTGAATCCGTTTTTTTACAGAGACACATTTTTATATTGTTTTTATATATCTTATTGTACAAGGTATTCCGAAATGTCATGAAAATTGAAGGGCACTTGGAAAAAACAATATTTTGAGGTCATTAATTATGATTGTAATTAAAAATTATTTCCTACTTTTTAGTTCCTTTAGCTATAAAAACGTGTTTTTTTAAAATATTATTTCTTTTTCATTTTTTAGTTTGATTTATCAATAATCAAATTCAAGCGGATAACCAAATGGAAATGGTATTTACCATTTTGGGTTGGTATTTACCAATCCGTTCAAGCAAGTGTAGTTATCAGTTTGGTTATAAGATCCGTGACGTCACGAATCAGCTGTTATATGTCATAGTTATCACCGCAAAATTGTGGTATTTACCCAACTCAAGAGTAGTTTTATATTTCTGGTTATTATTTGAAATGTGACAAGTTAGAATTTTGCCGGGTATTGGATATTGTTATTGTACTTCAGCTTCATTTTTGGGAAAAATGATACAGGCTGACTTCAGTTTTACCATAAAGTGGAGCACCTTATTAGTTATACTCATTACGGTTGTTGGGGACACTTTAAATGTAGTTCCTATGCTTAACAAAGTATCCTGTGTAGCCATATACCACAAGAATATTAAAATATGGCCATATAAACTCACTAGATGATATCCACCTGTATACGGTTTTGCTAATTTCTTTTTTCATCATTTCTGCTGAATCAATAAATGTTTTCTTTGACATGCGGAAAAATTTAGAGAACTGAAAGTTATCATAGCTACAAAGCCATGGTTCCATCATTAAAAAAAATCTGAAAAAACATTTCTCCCATGAATATTATGAAAGGTTTCTTATTTAAACTTTCCATATACAGTTGTAGACGAAAAAGCACCGATTATTAAGTGATAATAAGAATAATCAGAGATTATATACGCGCTTTTCTAAAATAAACAACTTGCAACAAAACCGCGGTTAAAACCAACGCGTTCAAGCGATTCGTGTAACTGACGTCATCAACCCGTGTGTCATCTTGAACCATATTATAACCGCGGCACATAACACAGAAATTTTGGTTATTCGCTTGGATTTGATTAATTACTTTTTTTGTGGACGTGTCATGATATTGGATTGTCATCAGTCCTTGATACGTGCGCGAAGTTTCATATTAATCAAATGGTGAAAATTATGCTCAAAGACTCCGTTAAATACAGGCCAAGCTTATATAAGCATGTTAAACATAGCAATCGTGATCTGAACCTCAAAGGAACTTTTATTCACATTTTAAAGTACCTGAATCTTAGTACGCTTTGACGTACTAAATGACTCCATCGTTACCCCGGGATAGACATACCTTTTGGCAGTCTTGTCACCTAGATTGCGGCGTTGCCAGCTCTTCGGACAATTTTGCTACCTCTGCTATTTTGCTATAAAAAAAGAAGCTTTGAATCAAATATTGAGGGATACTAATGGAGATATATAAAATTTGAGGCGTAGCAATGTTTGCCAAAAAACTAAAACAAGCTGTTTTACATTTTCCGTCGCCTGGCGTCTATGCGGCGAGAAGTTAATGTCTCTGAATGCTTTCATAAATGCCCAGTTTTATGAGATAAAATAGTTCCAATAATTGAAAAAAAAAACAACGTTTTATTATATAAATATATTTAACTATTTGATCTAAAATTACATGATCATTAATAGAAGTACGATTTTCATTATTTATTAGGGGAATATGGTTTTTTAGTGACTGCATTCGCACTTGGGCGAGGAAAACCCCTAGAAAACCTCAACCGACACTGCAGTGAAGAAAAATCAAGTCGTTCCACAATTCTGGCTTCACTTGTACAATCGAAAATCACCAGCATGCCACAGTTATTAACCTAACAAAAGTAGCAGTGAAGTAACGGTTTATACGAGGGTCATTTTTTAACTAAGAACCGTTTTGTAATCCAGTCAGTGAAATTTTTTTAGGAATGTAAATTGTATGATTTTTCAACATAGCCCACCATAAACATTCAAACACAAGTCAAGTCGTGGCACCAGTTTTTGTGTTAATGCAGCATCTGAAACTTATCCCGTGGTTTTCATCACGACTATTTCCCTCGTATAAATTTTGTACCAATCACAAACGCGTAATTTTGAATGACAGCATTTTTTTCCAGTTTACCCGCGGCAAAATGTGACAGCTGTTGTCACCAAAAATTACAATACCTATCATAACAAGTAATTATGGCTTCCTAGGACACCAGAAAACGACGCTAAGCTAAATTTTGTACTATTGTTTTTAAACAGCTTATATAGTGAAAATGAGTCGCTTTGGATCGGCGATTGAGAATAACCACAGTATATGACTAATCTCTCAGTGTATGCAGTTTATTTAAAGAAACACAGCATGTCAACCCTAACACACAAGTAGATGAGTATGCAAGGCTCACCCAGTTTGCTGGACAGGTTTCCCTCAGAAGAGTTGGAAGTAGACCTAATTTCCACTTTGGAGACACTTGACACCCACGTCAAAACACCAAACCACCACTGAGAGACAATCGAGAACCCTATAGTGAACACCAGTAGTGAAGGAAAGTAGCTAAACCGAACGCGTCGACATCCCACCGCGCCGACGGTTGCCGAGAGACTGAAATATCACGATTCACGAGGCGTCTCGATGTTTACGTTGATGGGGAGCAGACGCGGGGAGTGGGAGCTGGAAAGGGGCGTGGCTGCACTACCCGGCCGTACCGTGTCGTCGCAGCGAGGTACAGCACTCGCACGCCTCAGTCTCTCGGCAATCGTCGACGCAGCGGAATGTCGACGCGGTCACAGCTCCGTGCAGAGCTCTATTCGGTTTAGCTACTTTTTTTCAGTAGGGTTCTCGATTGTCTCTCAGTGGTGTTTTAGTGTTGTGGCGTGGGTGTCAAGTGTCTCCAAAGTGGAAATAAGGTCTACTTTCAACTCTTCTGAAGGAAACAGGATACCTGTGCAACAAACTAAGTGAGCCTTACACACTCATCTACTTGTGTGTTAAGGTTGGTATCCTATGTTTTTTTTAAATAAATTGCGCACATTGCATACACTGAAAGATAAGTCATATATTGAAGTATTTGAGAAAAACTAAAATTTGGCCTAATCATTTTTATTTTTGTCTGACTTTAATTTAAGAAATGTCAAAAAACTAATGGCACTACATGATGGTGTTTTTAAAAAAGTACTACCCTGTTATAAACAAACGTGTTTTTTGTCTACTTTTTCATTTTATTTAAGTAGGCGTTGCAAACAAATGCATGATGTAAGATTGTGTGATTACTAAATTTAACCTAGTCTGATCCTTACCTTGGCCACCCTGTAAAACATTATTATAAAAAGAAATTTACAGAAACGTGCACTAATCTAACGTTCTTGTAAGTATTCTTATGCCTCAAACAAAAAACTATAGTATATTTTGTGCTTGCTAACAACTGTTTTATTTAAGAAAATCCATTTGCAAGCAAGTTTTACTAGATTTACACCCTGTATGTGATACTGGATCATTGTAAACTTCGATCGACTCTTGACTGATTCATACCGCCCATCTCTACACTGGCTTCCGTTGACGTGTTTTGATATTCGTGTATTCTAACCTCAAAAACGTTATCTTCCACGTTAAACGAACTTCTTGTTCTTGCTTTGTTTTTCACAAGTACGTTCGAAAATGAGCAAAATAGAGAAAAGCAAATACAGAAGATATGATAAGAAATCAGCAAAACGGTTCAATCTCGACGTGAACCTCAAAGGATTTCTCTGTAGTTGTAACAACAGAGAAAAAGATTGCATCAGAGAAGCGTACAATATACTGAACAAATATGCTGATAAAATATATCCACCACCCGTTAAAGAAGCCTCGAAAGAAGAGACGTCCACAGATATATCTGACGATTTAAAAAAAGAACTTGAAGATTTGAAATCTCCGACTACAAAGGAAAAGCGATTCCAAGTGGTTGAATCTGGTGCAAGGAATTTTCTTTTTATCAAAACGACGGTTGAAGACCCAGTTTTACTCGCAGAGAGTATATGCAAAGAAATCGATTCCACAAAAACCCAACAGACCCGGTTTCTACTGAGACTTATTCCCATCGAGACCACTTGCAAAGCGTATCTGAAAGATATTATCGCCGCTTTTACCCCTCTCGCTGAAAAATATTTCAAAGATCAGAAAAAAACGTTCTCTATTGTTTATAATCACAGAAATAATGACGGGTTAGACAGGGAAGAAATTATCAAAAGCATAGCGGAGATAGTATTTGATATGAGCAACGAGAACAAAGTTGACTTGAAAACACCCGAAATTTCTGTGGTGATTGAAGTTATAAGAGGGTTTGCATTGATCGGAGTTGTGCCTGGATTCTTCAAGTATAAAAAGTATAATTTGATTGCGTTAGCTGAGCAAGGTGAAGGAAAGAATCAAGATGAGGCTGCTACCATGGATATGGACAAGGATGAAGAGGTGAAAGAGGATATCGGAGAAAGGTTAATAATGTTTATGTATGTTTTAAGTACAATGATTTGTTGTGTTCTACCTGAAAAGAGGTTGAGATATCCTAGCACCATCTAGGAGATAGCAACCAAACACAAAAATTAAGTTGGGTGGTTTTGCTACTGTTTCATAGGTGGCGCTAGTGCCGTCTGTGAGAAAGTAGATTTCTAAATTTGTTCCTGTATTCTGCTACTGTCCCCTAGAGGGCCCTAATGTCTACCAGATCCCTTTTTGGACACTGAAATATATGGTTAGCTATTGTTAGAATATGTTAATCGATGCAGATATACACGCGTTTTTGGAAATTTTCTGATGGAAAATGTTATTGAACTTTGTAGGATTTCTCAAGTGAAGGAAACTTAGTATATCTTGGTAATTGGCATTCACATGGTTAAGTTAGGAGTACCCCAGGGTTGCATTCTATGTCCCACTATGTTCATAATTTTCATTAATGACATCTTCAAATACAACACTAAATGCTATATATGCTTATTATGCCTTATTTTATATATAAATATGGAACATCGTAAGAAGCCACCGAAGGGGTAATTAATTAGGAAGGCTTTTTAAAATATATCTGATTTTATGGACAATGATTTTAATGATATGCTTCAATATGTTTTGTATTTGCCATTAATGTTCCCTTATCCTCATATTTTATGTGTATTTAAATCTAACTAGTTTTCTCTTGTTGACTTGTATCATATACAACACTAATAAACATTTAAATTTGTATATGACTATCAAAAAATCATGGAACCAATCTTTGCAAAGAAATAGTTTATTTTAGTGCCTATGTGTCAGCCGGCCTTCAGAATCTACACACCCGATAAGAATCTTAATAGATTCTAGTAATATCTTATTGTTTCAGCAATCAAGAAAGTGCTCAACCAGAAGTCTGTGAATAAAATCTACAATGGACTGAGAGGGTATTAGAAAGTGTGTATGTGTATAGAGACAATGAACAAGACTTTTATTTCATGTACTTTGTATTGATCTACCTATTAGGTGATTCTTTCAAGTATTTTTGGTCAGCTATTTGCTGATTATGCAAAAAATGTTTATTTTGTACCAAAGGTACTTAGAATTTTTCCAATTTGTTCCCTTTTTTGCTCCAGTTGTAACTTGGAGTTGCTTGAAGCCTGTGTTAATTTATTTATGTTATGATTTGTTATCACGACTGAGAAAATATATGTGGTATAAAATTTTTACGAAGTTTGTTTTTAACAATGCCTCATTTTCACAGTTAAAATTATAGATTTGTATAGGCAAAATACGAGACAAAACCGACGATTTCAAAGGATATGAATAAAAAATGGTAAGTGAATTAATTCGTGAAACGAAGTTCGAGATTCTTAAAAATGTTGACCTCTCTAATGAAATTTATTTACTGTGCATGAAGATCGTCGAAAAACTCTAATTTTTCAAAAGTTGGCTACGACACAAATCAAATTTTAAAAAAAGTGTTACATTTAGTCCTTAAAAGGGGAATTTATAAATTTTACTATGCAATTAAACAGCTAACGAACAAATCCAAGTTACTACTCTTAATATAGGGCTGTATTCCAGTGGCGCAACACCAAAATTTTTTGGTTTGATAAGAAGTGCTAATAAAAATTTAATTTTCAAAAATTGGAATTTTTTATCTTTCTCATCTAGCACGCCTTAAACGGTATATTGAGGACCGATCAACAACATACATTAAAGCTACATCATTCATTACACGACCTCCCAACAATCTTATACAATTCTCTCGTTCTTTTTGAAAAAGACGAGGCATCGTTGAGAAAATAAAACTACAGTCAGTATTATTATTGCTTAGCAATTGCATGTTTGAGGTGTAGGTAGTTAGGATGAAACGGGAGAAACGTCTTATTTGCATGGAGAGGGTATTTGTCTCGTGCCAAAATCACAACCTTTTTTTACTATTTATCACTTTTCCGTAAGTTGAATTTCTCTTCATTGCTAATAGAGTGCCCATTCCTAGGCCAGACCTTTTTCGATGATTTTCTTTTGGCAAATTTAATAGTTTATTGATTGTATAATTTCACTCTTTCTCAGCGATTCAGTATGTTGTTGTCGATCAGCAAAAAACTGTAGCTTTTTCCGTTAGTGGTTTCCTATAAAACATATCTTCTTCAAGGCCACTCAAGATACCTTCTTCTAGAACGTTACGCGTTCTGCGTGATTTGCTTTTCTGTTTCCGTTGAGGTCGTGGTGCCGGGGTCGTTTCTTCATTTTCCGGACTCGGGGATATTTGGCCCCAAGCGCCAATTCATGGACTAGCACCCTTTTTTTGTGTAACTTAGGTTTAGTCATTTTGGTTTGGGTGCGTCGTCTTCCATTTTTTTTATGGGATTTTGACCTTCAGAGGTAAGTTCTTTTTTATATACCTTCGGACCACGTGCCTTAATGCGGGCCCTGATGACGTTCGTTCAATATCTGCTTTCTTTTAGTCAATAGAAACAGAAGAGAATCATCATCCTTTCTTCTCCAGTTGGTTGCATCTTGTTGCAGTTTTGCAAATTGGAGGAAGTCGTCTCCTTGAAAAAAAAAACCTGATGTGAACAGGTAAAATATCATTGTAATTAACAATTTCATAGATCTTTCTTCTTAGAGACTTCTTGATTTTATTGGACATTCTACGTATTCAAATATGGGGCAGTGCCGACATGGCAGCTTCTATTACATTGATGATGATTTTGACTTTTGAGCTGCCATAACTTTTTAGAACAAGGGTATATTAGTTTAGTACATTTTTATTTTTGCCTTAGCTTTACTTTTCTTGTACAAAAAAATGTACATGGTTTTGCGTCTAGTTTTATCTCGGACAGAGAGTAGAGTAGATTTTTAAATAGTCTTTCTCTCTCTAGGGTTTTTTTACTGCCACATTTTTTGGCAGCGAGGCAAGCAGCCCCGGCCCAGTACTGGCCACTTTTTGACCAGAGTTGAGGACATCTCGGCCGCGCCTGACAAAGAAGACCTACAGATAAGTTTAACATTTAGGCGCAAAATATCTGTAAATACTTCGGGCGTATACCATGGTAGACGTTTGACGGGGTTATCTCAAAACATAATTTTGTCAGGTTGTATTTAAGATTTATAACATCCTTTCTTTTTTTTATTACTCGCACTCAAGTAGTGGAGCACATGTGCGTTTTTTATTAATCAATATATTGTGATTCATTTAATATCTTGTTTGGATCTCTCTGTGTGTACTGTAACTTAAATTTCGTCATCTCTGTTAGATTCTCCTTTTGTGTGGTGGTCAAGCAAAACAAGTTCCGACTAACATCTCGGGGAGTTGTTGCCTAATCCGTCCTAAGTCACTGGCGCTCTTAACCCCCCCTACTCTCCGCTTTGTTGAGCTAGAGCCTAAATTTGCACACCAGTAGACAGCTGTTTTGCTTGGACCAACCGTAAGATAGAATTTATCATTGTTTAACCAAAAAAAGTGTGGCATAATCCAAAAAAATACTAGCGTTTCCCGAAAGACATTTATTGCGGGAACGAAAAATTCGATAATTTGAGTTATAGCCAACTTTCAAAAAATTTGAGATATCACTTTTTCTTAGGATAGTCCAAAGATCAAAAAAATGCTTAGAAAAATTTTCAAGATTTAAAATTGAGAATCTGACATGGCCCCAAACTTTGCAAAAATACATCACTTCCTTTGCTCACTCTGGAGAAATATCCGGTAGAAAATTTTCCATGTTGCGAAGCAAATGTCCACCAGTTGATTCAAAAGACATAGTATTCAAAACTCCTTTAATAAAATAGTAAACACAAATTACAACTAATCCTTCGTAACAATAGAATAATTAGCCGTTAGTAGACGAAAACCTGTAACCAGCCACCCACTATCTAATAATAACAGAAAACTAGAATACTAAAATTTCCTAAATATACATACACAATGTACTAGAAATATACACACGCACATCTCAAGTGAAACAATGACACGATACTGAATGTAAAGCAGGTTGAAATTTGTGATATAAAAAATGCTGCACTGTATAATGTTCCAATTCTATTATGCTATTTTAAAAAATATTAAAACTATTTTCCATCCTTATGTAGTATAATGGCAGCAGCAATATTTATTTAATCATATAAAAAATAAATTTCATAACGACATTGCATTATCCATCTGTGTCTGTCCTGTCATCGAGTGAACATATTTACGTTTTACTCCTTCATGGATTTGTATGTGGTTCATAAGATACTAAGTGTACAATTTTTCATTCGATTTTTCTATGAATTTCATTTTTTTGGGCAATCATCGCAAGAAAGAGGGCAAGGAGTGCACCACTCAGGTCTGTTACCCAAAGGATGAGGGTTATAAGTAATCTTTGGAGTAGTCCCTTGACGTTCCGGAATTTCTGTCACCTGTCTGGTTTTTTCTTGCTCTTGTCTTACGAGTTCGGGATTTAATACGACCGGAAGTGGCGTCCATATTGGCCGTAGTGTGACTGCCTTTTTTCTGGAGGGTGGTCTGGGTGTCTTTGATTGCTTGGTGCTTGTCTCGACGATGAAAGCTTGTGTGGGACTCAGATCTACGGATTTGGTCGTCTCTGGGCGCAGATCAGTCTGTAAAGGATTTACTAAGTCTGGCTGTCGCATACTATTGGAAAGTCTACTAGGCAATCCGGTTTCTTCATTTTTCGGATTGCGTGTCTGCTCGGGAATCGTGGATTTCGAAAATCCTCCGACCTCATTATGTGTGGGTGCGGTGGTGTCTAGGGGCACAGAATTGACCAAATTTGGCTGTTGCGTATCTTCAGAAGGTCTGTTAGGCAGCTCACTTTCTTCAATCTGAGGAATGCCAATTATCTGTTCGGGAACGGTGGATTCCAAAGGTTCTTCACTATCTGTGGGTCTAGTGCTGTCTAGGTGCAAGGAATTCACCAAATCTGTCTGTTGCGTATATTCAGAAGGTTTGTTGGGCAGCTCACTTCCTTCAATCTGTGGAATGCCAGTTGTCTGCTCAGGAACGGTGGATTCCAAAGGTTCTTTACTATCTGTGGGTCTAGTGCTGTCTAGGGGTAACGAATTCACCAAATCTGTCTGTTGCGACTCATCAGAAGGTCTACTAGGCAGCTCACCTTCTTCAATCTGTGGAATGCCAATTATCTGTTCGGGAACGGTGGATTCTGCAGGTTCTTCACTATATGTGGGTCTAATGCTTTCTAGGGGCAACGAATTCACCAAATCTGGCTGTTGCGTATCTTCAGAAGGTCTGTTAGGCAGCTCACTTTCTTCAATCTGAGGAATGCCAATTATCTGTTCGGGAACGGTGGATTCCGAAGGTTCTTCACTATCTGTGGGTCTAGTGCTGTCTAGGTGCAAGGAATTCACCAAATCTGTCTGTTGCGTATATTCAGAAGGTTTGTTGGGCAGCTCACTTCCTTCAATCTGTGGAATGCCAGCTGTCTGCTCTGGAACGGTGGATTCCGAAGGCTCTTCACTATCTGTGGGTCTAGTGGTGTTTAGGGGCAACGAATTTACCAAGTCTGTCTGTTGCGACTCATCAGAATGTCTACTAGGCAGCTCACCTTCTTCAATCTGTGGAATGCCAATTATCTGTTCGGGAACGGTGGATTCTGCAGGTTCTTCACTATATGTGGGTCTAGTGCTTTCTAGGGGCAACGAATTCACCAAATCTGGCTGTTGCGTATCTTCAGAAGATCTGTTAGGCAGCTCACTTTTTTCAATCTGAGGAATGCCAGTTGTCTGTTCGGGAACGGTGGATTCCGAAGGTTCTTCACTATCTGCGAGTCTAGTGCTGTCTAGGGGTAACGAATTCACCAAATCTGTCTGTTGCGAATCATCAGAAGGTCTACTAGGCAGCTCACTTTCTTCAATCTGAGGAATACCACCTGTCTGCTCGGGAACGGTGGATTCTGAAGGTCTGCTAATTTCTTCGTTATTTGTGGGTCTAGTGGTGTCTAAGGGCAACGAATTCACCAAATCAGGCTGTTGCGTATCTTCAGAAGATCTGTTAGGCAGCTCACTTTCTTCAATCTGAGGAATGCCAGTTGTCTGCTCGGGAACGGTGGATTCTGAAGGTCTGCTAATTTCTTCGTTATCTGTGGATCTAGTGGTGTCTAAGGGCAACGAATTCACCAAATCAGACTGTTGCGTATCTTCAGAAGGTCTATTAGGCAGCTCACTTTCTTCAATCTGAGGAATGCCAGTTGTCTGCTCGAGAACGGTGGATTCTGAAGGTTCGTCACTATATGTGGGTCTAGTGCTTTCTAGGGGCAACGAATTCACCAAATCTGGCTGTTGCGTATCTTCAGAAGGTCTATTAGGCAGCTCACTTTCTTCAATCTGAGGAATGCCAGTTGTCTGCTCTGGAACGGTGGATTCCGAAGGCTCTTCACTATCTGTGGGTCTAGTGCTGTCTAGCGGTAACGAATTCACCAAATATGGCTGTTGCGTATCTTCAGAAGTTCTGTTAGGCAGATCACTTTCTTCAATCTGAGGAATGCCAGTTGTCTGCTGCAGAACGGTGGATTCTAAAGGTTCGCTAATATCGTCGATATCTGTGGGTCTAGTGCTATCTAGGGGCAAGGAATTCCCCAAATCTGTCTGTTGCGTATCTTCAGAAGGTCTATTGGGCAGCTCAC